AACAAAACAGAGTCTATGCAACAAAATATTAAATTGATGTATCCAATAGGGTAATTTTGAACTTTGATAAAAAATAAAAAAATGGATTCAACCATGAGTTTTTAATTTTCCTTCCACATACAATTAAAACAACTTTACGAGATATTACTTACCAAATATCAGGCAAAATGGCGAACATAAACTAGAGTTATAACAGAAAATAACATGTATCCAATACTTATGCGTGTCACTGTAGGTGTTGAAAATTTAGTTTATTACTGAGAATGACATAATTTGTATTTATTCTGTAAATAATAAAAGATTATGACTTTAACAAGTTTAAACTTATAGTTAGTGTGGGTGGATTTGCTATGCAAATGGTTAAAACTTGAGCAAAAGCTATTTTTTTTTGCAAATTATCTACAAAGTAATCCACTATTACAAGATAATTGATTCAATATTTGAATATTTCTAATTATACTGCAAAAGGCTTATAGCCACAAAAGATCAACTCGATTCAATCCCAACAATCTATGTTGCTTAGTCGCTAAGTCAAATTAGCTTAGTGTGGGAGTTAGCTATCTCCACATAACTGCATCACCTTAGTCTCAGATTTGTGCTAACCCCTAGATGTTTATTTCTTTATTATTAATATTTTGCAAATATTTCTTTTATCTTAATTTCACTTGCTTTTTATTATATCTCATAAATGATAGCCTATAAGCGACTCCAGAAAAATACAACTATTTTTTTATAGAAAATTTTCTACAACTATAACAAATAACTAAAAATGTTTAGAGATGCAATTATAAAGAATGAAATAGAATAATTACATAATATATACCAATATGGATTAGTTCTGTTCTTAAAACTTACATTTTCAAGAAGAATTCAAAGTTTAAAACAAACAATTAAATAATTTGAATGAAACAAGTTGTATATCTAGATGTCAATCTCTGTTATGGTATGACTTTAGTATTTTGCAAGCACATACTAACTATAAGAGAATATACTATATAGAAATCTTGTTTATCATTAAGACTATTTGGTCTTGATTTCACTCAAGAGTGTTGTCTTAATTGTGAACACATCAAGCATTCACTTTGAACATTTTAAACTATCAAAGCTGACTTTTGAAACTAAAAAATGGTATTTAGAATTGGTTTTTCTGTTTTCAAGTTCATGATAATCATTATCATTAATCTTTATTCTTTACAAAAATCTATAGACATCTATTTTGTTGCTTAGCTACTGTACCAGTGATTAGCTGTAGATACTTGACATAAAAATGATAATGCTAATCATTTAATCCTTTTCTTTCTCACTTTGGCAGAAAAAGAAAGGAAGTCTTTCATAAAGAGGATACAAATTCTAGTTTATTTACTAAGTTATTTTAATCCTATTATAGACAGTCGAAGAAATGAGACCCAGTGCAATTAGCACTTGATATGTGAAAAGCAGACAAGTGCAGGTTTCCTGCTGGAACTTAACTAGAGAAAGGAAGAGAGTGATTTGGGGGAAAAAATCCTTTAGTGAATAATTAAGAAAAATAAAATCCAGGGTGAAAAAGAACAAACACAACAGTAGCTAAAGTAATTTGAATACTTTTGTGTATATTCTTTTCTTTTTGTCCATAATGCATTCACTTGAAAAAAAAAAAAATCAAGTGGAGGAATATGTTCAGTTTTTGTCTTGGCTCAGAACTGGATTACATAAAGTGTTGTAAGACATTTCATATCTAATTTTTAATAAATTACTCTGCAGAAATCCTCTTTATCCTGATTTCATTCTAGAGTTTTCTTTTTCAACTAGATGAAAATGTAGTAACAGACATTACTAGTCTGACACTTGAGAACACATCTAAAAGTGTAATGATTACAGGACTGTTTATAGTTACTTTCTGAACATTGACTATGCTGGCAGAAGAAAAAAAAATCACAGCTTTGTGAAATATGAAGGTACTAACAAGTTCTCAGGCCAACCAAGAAGGGAATTTTCCAAATATTTTGATGCTTGTTCAAATTTTGGGAAGTGGGTTGGACCAAGAACTTTTCAGATACCCCCCCCCACTTCATAATTTGTTTCTTTTATAATCTCAGCAACTTTTCTTATTGTTTTTTTTTTTTTTTAATCCATACAAATTATCTTTACTTTAGCAGAAATTTCACTAGATTTATGGCAAATATTATAGAACTGTTTTTTAATGATTTTTCTTTTGAATTGATTTCATTTTTTTTTCTAAGTCCCTATCCTTTTCTTAAAGCTTATCATTGTTATGGCACTATCCATAACCTATTGAATCCTGAAAACTGACCACTTGCTGATACACTATGCCTTGATATTTTGGTTAAATTTCATTATTTCAGAACAAATTGGCAGTGAAGTGGCTAGTATATATAAAGAAACTTATTCTATAATGGACTACTGAAAAGTTCTTGGTTTGATCTACTTCACCAAATATCAGAATTTTTTTTTTATTTTTGGAAGGACTTCTTAGTTAGTTTGAGAACTTTTCAGCATACCCTTGCACTGAAATGTAAAGTGGTGTAATTCTTTTTAGTGATGAGATGCTGGGTCATTAAAGTCTATATTTACAGTCTGAGTCAAATTGGAAAAAGTAACATTACTTTTCATGTTTGAAGAAAAAGAGTTGCATACACCTCTATGTAAATATAATTCATGTTTATAAATATATAAATTGGCATTCACTATGATTCACTTGTCTAAAGAGTGCATTTAATTCATGTCTACACTGTATCAGTTTTTATTATGCAAGTCAATATTTTCACAAGCAAATTTGTATTAACCAATTGTTGATAAAAATTTTCAAGATGGTATGATTGGCTACTACTCATTTCTGAGTGCACCCATCTGCCAGGGTGGATAGCCACACCCTATTACAGATGCTTGCTTAATCCACAGAACACACCTGCAGTTTATACAGTAACTATGTTAAGTGAACCTTAGTTAATTCAGAATGGTCAATTTTTTTGAGCAAGTTCAGTACGTTCAAACCCTTGGTCATGATGACTTGTGACTTCATGCAGGATGTACTTAGAGAATTAATATACCATGTCAATTTTAGCTTATATCTGATTTTGTAAGTATTTACAATAACTTATTTAATGGTGTGAAATTGAAAATGCAATTCGGGTGGTGATCATCATATTGTAAATAAATATATGCAATAGATATTGATATTTTTTCTTTTTAATTATAGATTTATAAAAATTGCTATAGATTGTAAGAAATATATAATCCGAAAAGATATTGTAAAGTTATTGATTGATGGAAACAATTAGAAATTGCAAAAAAAAAAATAGTTGAACAGAGATCAGAGAACAATCAAAAAAAGACATTGAAAACATCAGTAAGAAAAGATGCAGAATATTAATGATAATGACTAAAGATATAAAAGCAACTAAACAACTACCTTTAAGTAAATAATGTTTTGGGTTAATACTGTTGGCAGTAAGTTCCTTCCTACTAGATTGTCTCATCATTTTACTGTTTAAACTGTAAGTTCTATTCTCAGAGTTTATTTTTTTCCCTGCATGTCTCACTTCTGGAATTCTCTACCAGTTCCTTGCTTCTCTGTCACATCCAATCTTCAAAAATTTAAATGCAATGTCTATTGCCATCTTTTGACTTGCTCAATCCTCTTGTTCTTTTATTGTCCTTTCTTTTCCACTCCTAGTAACCTTTTGTGTCTTAGTGGCATTATCTCCTTGCTTGGAGTAAATGATTAAAACAAAATACAGAGAATTATTGGAAGTTCTTGGACAAGATGTGTTTTGAGTGTTACATTTTTAAGCTCAAAAGTATATTTATGCAAGAAAATACTCCTCCTCATTCTACAAAGAAGACTGTCCACCTTGTTAAAAACAGTTTCAAAGATACAAAATTAATGGAATGTTCCCTAGCCTTTCCAAATATTAATCCAAGAGAAAACGTGTGACCCATCATTATAAGAATTGGAAACAATATTCAAGACCATGAGATCTCTGGGAAACAATTTACCAAACAACTACAACAAATGTTAGTCAAAACAATAGAAAAGTTGTCAAAATCAATGGATGGAATGGTGAAGTAAGTTATAAAATGTCAAGGTTCTTGTGTTAACATGTAAAATAATAATTTCTCCAGCTATATGGGATACTGTTTTAATAAAATGTGGTTTATATCTTTTGGACTTCTTTCTAAATAAAAGTTCTATGTTGAGCATAACACTTCCTGAAATGAGTTTTCAATATTTTTAATAAAGATAGATATTATCATATGAAACACAAATGATATTTTGCTCATATAAATATACATACTGAAAGTTTTACCAACATTGGTTGATTAATACCAATTTTATTGTGAAGACATTTATTTGCATGATAAAATCTGATACCACGTCATATATAAATATTCAATATAAAGCCTAAAATCTTTTCTAGTCTTACTCAGTTTGTCTACTTATCAAATTTCTTCAAATTTAAGCCTCATTTATAAAAAGTTGGAAGCAATGTTGATAAAAGAATATTTTCTCATTTTTCAATGTCCCAACATTTCACTTGGCCAACTCATTTTCACTGCCATTTTTTCTGAATATTATTTCGTTTTAAAGTAGTCATTTTTTTAAATCATTTTTTCCTTTAGAAAAGAAAACATATGAAATGCTGAATTTCCAAAGGGCCAACTCCACATGTGGATTTGGGCAATGTAAAACTCTTTGCATTATTTTAAAATATTTTTGTGTTTTTTTTTTTAAAAGTAATCTTTTTATCTATTTACCACGCTAAAGTATTTTTATCAAGGATTGAAGAAAAGAACATTACAAGTCTTTTATGTTTTCAAAATGCACATCTTTTAATTCTTTCTTTTTATTTCTGGTTTGTGCCCCAAATGTGATAAAATCAAGACACTCTGCCTGTGCTTTTAATTTAATGAATAGAAGAAATATTTTGCACAATTCATCTGGGCATATCTTGTCTAGCCACATTGCAACTTAATACATTCTTCTATTTTAATTGCAGCTGCAGGTAAAAAATCTTCGTCAAGAGATTTCTTTGTTGAAGATAGAACTGGCCATGCATGATACTCTGGTGAGTAACTCAATATAGATTGTCTGCTGCCTTTAACCTCATATATCACTTTGTTGTCAGCAGAAACAAACAAGGTTATCATCTGAATATAGCTTTTCAAGTTTCAACAATTTTGTCTTTTGGTCATTAAAAGCAACAATGCAACATACTGTGAAGTATAACTACAGAAAAATTATAGTAATTTCCAAATTGTACTGAATTAAATAAAAAGGTATGAGGTTGTGTGATAACATTGTTTTCATTCATTTTAGGTCTTCATTCAGTTAATTTTTCTTGATTTGAGCACTTATTAAAATTCCTGAAAAGGTAATGCTGTGAAAGGTGTATTGATAATTTGAATCTTAATAAAATTATCTCTACACCATATTATTTACTAATAGTTCTTTTAATTCATTAGTTTTGTAATTGGTTCAATTATTGTGTTATAACCAGTTTCATCAGATAACAAAAAATAACTGGTTTTTGAATACCACCTTAATTCATCTAATTTGTATCTCTCCAAAATCTAGTCTGTAATTCTTCTGCCAGAGTAATGCAAAATAATCTCTTCACTTATTGGGATAGAATACATGATACACAAGTCATGCTAATGTTTTTATTACTGTTTAATAAATAATGTTCTAGATGGGTTTGCAAATGAATAGTTTTATGGTCACATAGTTGTTTTAATTGTTAATGATATTGAATTTAAATTCATTTTCTTCACAATAAGAACAAACATGCTGAGAGGTCTGAAGTTACATTTTGTGGTTTCTCTGGGTTATCTTAAAATACTTCTGGATTTTTGCATTTGTAATGCAATATTAATTTCTGTTTTCAATCTGTTAATGTCTTTCATCAAATTCCAATGTGCCAAAAACTGACACAAAACAATGGACGATGTTTCAGTTTTAATTTTTTACTTAATCTTAACAAATATATTTTTATTACTATCAACTTTTTTATTACTATCAAGTTTTCATATTTAATGAATGTCAGAACTTTAATTCAAATTTATACCCAGTATAAATGAATATAATTTACTGACTAGATATCACTGAAGATGACCAGAATCAAATGAATACCAATTACAATCATTTTGTTATGTTTTACATTAATTTTCAATTTTCATTTTTATTGTACATTTGTTAGTGGATATGATTCTTTTACAGCAGAAGAGTTTGGTACTGATACACAAATATTTTGATATAAATATTCCTCTGAAGGTGTCTTTATTTCATTTAAAAAAATGATGTGATATAATATTAGAGCTGTTCATATTTATATAAAACATTTGAATAACAAGCCAATGATATTAATTGATGCAACAGTTTTCATTTTCATCTTACATTTAATGATCTTAGCTAAATCTTTCTGTGGAAAATGTCGGTCTGATTTTATGCATTGCTTAAATAAAATACAACGCATGTTCTAGTTTTATATTTGAAATTGTTTAATGTCATAAAAATCCTCTTTTCTGGTCACTCATTAGTTTGTATGTTTTTTTCCTCAGCTGAAAAAAATTAAATTATGTGCCTCATGTCTGACATGGAAAGTACAAATATGTAATTGAAATAAAATAATCAGTAATTACAAGAAAATAGTAATGAATGATTTCCAAAGCCCTTAAATAACTCATTTAAATTTGTTGTTCTTTTACACTAAATTTATAAAAATCACATTAGTCATTTTAAAGTGCCAGTCTAAATTTTAATGATTATTATCACTAACATTTTCTTCTTGAGATATTGAATCTTAATATATGCAAATTAAGTACAAATATTTTACCAGAATTCTTATCCGAACTTCTTTATTGTCATAATGAAATTAAAACTGTAATGTCTCTTTTCTTTTTTAGACCAATCGTACACAAGTCACATATGAACCGTTATCTGAGCAACAAAGGTTTTGTATGAAGCAGAAATTACAGAAATATTTGGATGGATCTTTAGAGGAAATTGATGTAAGTTTTTGATATATAGCAAATTATATAAAGAATCACTTATCAGATAAGTAAAAACAAATGAACATTATTTTTCTTAGGATGTTGCCTCTGAGATATGGAAGTGAAGGCTAATGAAAAGACTTGTCCTATTTCCAGTCTAATTCTGTTGCACTCTCTAGATTTAAATGTTTTTATTGCACATGGATTTATAACTGAACTATCAAAGGAACATTTTTCAGATTCCACGCCACCCACCTAAAATTTATACAAGTAAATATCTAGGAGGTCAAAATTTAGTATAGGGATACACCTTTTCAGGGCAAAGTTCATAGGCTGTATGAACTTTACAGTGTATGTGAGAGAGTCATATTGCCTCCTGTATTCTTAATGTCTCTGAAATTTTATTCACTATTTATTTCATTCCAACAGATAGGTTCATCTATCATCCAGTTCACACTCCTCATTGGTCTTTGTAACAGGAATAGTGATTTATTTCTTGTTTCCTGTTTAGGCTTGGGTTTCTGGTTCCTTCTAAAGTCAGCTTCAGCTCTATATTCCTAACACTTGTCCTTTTTTATGCTAATATAATCCACACAGTAACCCTCTACTTTGAGTGGCCCTTGGACATTGTATTAGATGAACATTAGTAAATATAAATGCTTTCAATACTATTGAAAAACAGAAATCAGCATATCAATACTATTTGAATTTGGAGTCTACATAATTATTAATTAAGTGATTAAAAATAGGTACTAAAGTTTTATGGTAATTCTGGTTCAATGTTTTATTGCATGAGAAAACCTAATGTCAGTTTGAGGGAATAATTAAGATTAAACAGTGGAAAAAAACTCAGGAAAACATTGAGGAGAATAAGGAAAGAAAGCGTGGTTCAAAAATAACTAGTAGCTATAAAATGAGTTTGGAGAAAGCTCTAGGAAGATTTAAACCGGTAAAAAACCCAAGTGGAATTCATTAAGATATAGTAAGACTAGATCTTTCCCCCAATCTACCCAATTGCCTCCAGGGCAGTATGACAAGATTTATGGTCTTTTAAAATTTTCAAAATTCCAAAGAAGAATTGTTGATATAATTATTTAAAGTGCTATTAGACCACCAAAAATGAGACAAATGGAAGTCATATCAAAAAACCTGCAATAAATTGGTACCAGAGATGCACAAATTTCTATACATAAATTGGAGACAGATGGGACCAGGTAGAAAATGACAAGATAGGCAAGGTTCATTATAAACTTCTTTTCTTCCTGCTGCTGCTGCTGCCACTGACAGACACAAGCCCAATAGACAAGAATACAGTGTCAATGTCTCTCAAATAATTGCAATTACTTCTCTAGAATAACATTTCTGTTGAAAGATCGTCAACCAGTCTACATAGAAAGATTAATAATTCTTTACTCCCGATGTACCTTTACATTCTACAGTTTGTTTAATGAATTAAACACATTGTAAGTTATCAACAGTTGGTTTTTGCTGTGAAATTGAATTTTGGCAGAGGCAAAATGTTATCATTGTTCCAAATATTTTACACCTGAAATTTCTGCAGTATCACAATAACCATTGGGTAAAATCCTTGTAAAATCTGGTTACTTCCCAGTTTACTGATGTTCATGTGCAATAGCTGTGAAGATCAAAAACACTGCCAAGAATACTTAATATTCCATGCTTGGACAGAGAACAACAAATCAATGAAACGCGAGTGCAGTGTCAGTGGGTTATAGTTTAAATAATCAAATGTTAAATTTAAAAAAAAGCTTGAACTTAAACAAATTAAGTGTTAACTGAATAAATACCAGACGATCAGAATGTTTTCATAACTAGATCTCAAATATTTTTGTGAGCAAAGCCACACAAAGCCCAAGAAAAATATGCAACTGATCGTCTAAATCTTAACCACTTTGTAGCTTATCAACAAGACATTTGTAGGAAATTACCAACATGGGTGGATCCAGCATTTTCACTTAAGTAAAAATCACACAATTCAAAATTTTAAATTCTGTGATCATATATTGGGTTATAGAAATGAGTAGTGTTCACACATACACATATATATATAATTTAAATTTTCATTTTCTTTTATTTATTTGATATATAAAATTGTAAAATCAAACTTTTAGATTCAAAGCATGATTATATAGCATTTATGAAAGGATTTACTAGTCAATTTTTGTGAATTCTTATTTACATAGAAGTTTACGATTTTATTGTAGTCTAACTGAATGTCTTTGTGAACATACAAAATAACAAGCACGTTAAATCTGTCTTCACTCATTATAGCTTACCTTATCTACTTTGCTACAAAAAATATTTTCCCAGAAATTTTAGAGGTGGGGGTGCACCCTCTACAATACCCCCCTCCTTGATCCACCACTGAAATAAAGAGAAAGTAGACTATGAAAATTATAAATTCAACATTTAATTATAGACTGAAGGACCAAATAAGACAATATTTTAGGAATTCACTTTTTCCTTTGGGTGTTAATTTAATAGACTTAATGCTTTTAATGCAGCAAATAATGAAATTCTCTTTGAACTTAGTATTAATATGTGAGGATAATTGAAGATAAAACAGACCAAGATGTAAAAATTTAGGGAAGGAAGAAATAACAATAGTGTCTTATCCAATAATAAATTAAAAATTTTTTTTTTTTTTTTTTTTTTTTTTTTTTTCAGATTATAAATGTTCGTCAAATTCAAGGTTATTTTGCTCTATTCCGAGAACTCTATAGGTGAGTTTATCAATTAACATCAGAGAGAATTTATCCTCAAATTTTCACTGATAACTGTTTATATAAAGTAGATTACTATTTCTTTATGACTAATCCATAGTGTTTTGTTATTTTTATTAAACTATATTTTCAAACTAATCTCAAATGAAGATCTGATGAGACAACTCTTTGTGAATTTGAAAGGCCATGATAACATACCACAAATAAAATATGCCTCAGATAATCACATCTGGATGATATTTAAAAATATTGTCCCGAATTAAATAAGTTTATAAATAATTACATCTGAATGTCAATGTTAGATGGAAGCCTGCAAACCTTAAAATTGAAGAAGTGACACAGGCCAAAGCAAGGATAACGAGAACAAGGTGTTTAGATAAAATATATTAAAATTTATTACTGGCAGAAGAGAGGAAATACTATTGAAGAATCCAGATGTTTTAAATACCCTGGGTGGTTGTGCTTGTAGTTAGCTGTTGGTCTTAGATGCATCGACAGTTGATGATGACAAGAGCAACTTGACTGGCGAAAAAAAAAAGTTGGTGTTTTGGGTTGCTACTAGCTGGCAGTAGTAGCCCAGGTCAGACAGTTGTTGGTAACCAGAAGAGGAAGACAAAAATACTTGCAAAGTCTTGAAGGACGATAGTGTGTTGAGCTGGTACTAGCAGGCAGTGTTGGCCGAGGGTAGGTGTTTGAAACCATGGTGACCCATGAGATGATGGACAGCAGGGAGTGAAACCTAATCGCTGAGTGGCTTGGTAGAAGACATGATCAGCAGGAGTCAGTTGGTCACTGGTGATCACTGTTCTAGATACTACCCAATCATCATAATCTCCCCCTGCCCTGCTGGTTTTATGGTGTAGGAGTGTTACAACAGCACAGGGTTTTGATGCTACTTCTGGTTATAAATGAAATAAAAAATAACTCTAGCTTATGAAGTATAATGTAATTGGTTATAATAAAAGTACAAACAGGAAAGAAATAGTATTGGTTTTGAATAACCAGCATAAAATATCTCCCAAACAAAGTACAGAATTAATAAACTTGAACAAACTGTACAAAGTTAAATTGAAAGAGTCTGTTTGCTGAAACAAAAATAAATGTTGTTATGATGCTTCTTTTTGTTGTGATCATTTGTAAAAAGAAAAGAATAAGAAATACAAGGAATGAAAATAAAATTTTGGCTTTAATAAATGCAACTGAAACTGTTGTTAAATCTGTTGATAATAAATCATTTTTTTTTTTTTTCATGTAGTAATCTGGAAAAAACTGTTGAAGAGAATTTCAAACAACGTTACACTCTGATTGATCGTACTGATGCAGCTGCCATTGCAGCAGCTCAAAAGGTATGTCTTATGCTTTCAAAAGTTGCAGGAAAAACAATTTCATTGTAAGTAAGGGATTATAGAAGAAATAATGCTGTCTGATTTTTATTTTATTTTTTTATCTTTTATCTGATTTTTATTTTATCTTTTAAACATACTTTGTCATTAACTTGGTGAAATAATTCACTGAGTAGGAAGAGAGAGACATTAGTAAACATGAAGCTAAAACTTAGCCATTGTCTATCATAGACTGTATATAAACAATAGATGAATAATTGAAAAGTCTGTCCCATCTTCTCATTGTTTCAATTTCTGAACTGTAGATTGAATTTGAGTGTGCGAAAAGGTGTAAAATAAGATAATATATTTGTATATGTGTTTGCTAGTGTATGTCAGGTGTAGATTGAAGCTTAATCATAGAAAGTAAATACAGTATCACTTTGGGTTTTGATTAACTTGATACAGTATTGTACAAAGTTTTCAGCTAACTCATATAAACCAAGCCAGGGACAGTGTTTTAAAACAGAAAAATGTCTGATGAAAATTCATTATATAAAGTTACTGTGCATTGTTTCATGTGGCTTCCCTTAGACTGAATAACTGCATCAGTGCAGGAAAAGAAAGAAAAGAGAAAGGTTGCATACAAATCCTTCATCTTCACAGGTATGTGATGCCATTCTCTGTGGATCAGTTCCCATAATTTTTCAGGATTGCATGGATTCTTCTGATGAACTCATCATTTGCTCAGTGATATTTAAGATAGGCTTCTGAACTAGCCAAACTTTCAAAATGGTGACATGTTTATCAGCCAAACTCTGCTGTTTAGAGCTCATCATTTCAAAACACCCCACCTTCATCCAATCTGGTATCAAATGGTACTTCTGTGACAGGATGGTTTTTGATTGATTTGTTTTCTATGGCTGATCAACTCTTTTGTAGGTTATTTAATGCCAGAATATATTTTTAGATTATAAGAATTTATTTATTTATTTGAGATAATAATGATTTAGTGATACAAGACTTACCCATAGCTGGAGGGGGAAATGGTGGATTCATACCTTTCCTATGAGTATTTGCACATAAGTGCATATAACATACCTGACTGGAATTGGAACTAGGCTCTCTGATAAACAACTCTGAACCATTATCCATTGCACCACCCACACATCCTAAGCTTACAGTACCTGGTATTCCCAAGCAGTCACCCATCTAGGTACTGACCAGGCTCAATGTTGCTTAACTTCAGTAATTGTACAGTAACTGATGTTTCAACATGATGTGGCCATAAGATGTGACAGGATGTAATTGGCACAATTCAAGTTACCATCACTTTTTTATATATTCCCAGAGCATTAAACACTTATCTACAAAATTCACTATCCTCATCATGTAATGTGGGTTATTTCAGTTTCTTGAAAGTTTCTGTACCATTCTTTTACAGCTTTCAAGAATGGGCACATCTTAGTTGATCTGAAACACTTCCATTACCTTGAAATGTCAAGTGGATTCCTTAGCTGTTGCTTGCTGGCACTTATTCTTGGCCATCTACACTAATTACAACCTAGTTACTTTGGAAATTTTCCCCATGGTTTCAATCAATGAAAGAATGCAGAATTTTGAATCATCAATTTTATATCAGAAAAAAAACTGTGCTACTTCAAAAAAAAAAAAAAAAATTCATATTAACACAAAAATAGAAACCTCAATGTCAAGTGACTGAAAACTTTTGCACAAATATATGTATTTGGGTTTTGTCTCACATCTCCCCCCTAATTTATATTCTTGCTATAAAATATAATAATTAGGTATGGAAATAACTTCAATAGGGCCAATGTTTTATCTTTAGAAAATGTGATGCAAAAAAACCCAAATATGTCTGTTTCTTGTGGTAGATGTAAAAATAACAAAACTGTCATTTCATTCTTTTTTTCTTAGTTTAATTCTCTGATTTATTAAGAGAATTTTATAGTTATGTTTTTGTCCAAAAAGAATTTTTCCTATTGGCATCACTGCTAATATTCAACTATAAAAAAGACTTTATTGAATAATTAAGTAATTAATTAATAACATTGAATAATGTTAATATTGACATTAGTTTCTCAATTACAGGATTGTGCCATAGTATATAAAGTAGGTACCTCCATAAGAACATGATATCTAAGATTTAAAAGTACTTTTTAATAATGAAAAATCTTTCATGATACTTGTATTTTAGTTTTAATTTCAGGCTGAGAGATTAATTTTAATGTTTCCAATAAACAAAATACTATGCTGTATTTCAAAACTAATTTAAATTGATGGGAATTTTTTTTTTTTTAATTTCTAAAATTTTTAATTTAGTGCCATTTTTAGCAAAATGTTATAAAAATGTAAATCTCTTTATTAAAAACTCTTCCAAAAATAAAATATACTTTTCTGAAACTTTATTTAAGAAATATTAACTGATTTAAAGTATAATTAATCTGATTTGAAATGACTATTTTTTTTATTTTTTTTTTTTTTTTTAAGTTTAAAATATCACAGAAATGCATTTTCAACACGATGGTAGATTGTTTGTTGACAGCTTAAAAACACTTCTGTGAAAGCCAATAATAGATAGTTATCTTATGTTGTTCTACAGGTGCGGGGGGGGGGGGCTTTAACCATAAAAAAAATTGAGGAATATATTGCAAAAGCCTTTTAAGTACTGTATAATCTTAAAAATTTAAGAAAATCTTCTTTGTAATGTTTTATTGAATTTTGGAAAATTTGGGTTCTAAATTTACAATAGTTGTTGCTTTTATTTTCTGAGTGTCATGTATAGGCAACTGTATCTTTTGTTTTCATTATGTTTGGAGCATGTTTTCATCAGAGTATATCGATTTTTTTTTAGCAATTTTGTGGAGGTACCTAGAGTGAAAGAATCTGAAATGATTTCCTTTTTGCATATTATGATCATCAAGAATTTTTATTAAATCATAAATTCTAAAAATAAATAACTTAAGTCTTGAACATGGAAATGATTTGGAAATGTTTCTTTGAAACTTCCAGTTTACCAGCATAATGCTGTTTGTTGTAAAATAACTTGTTTAACTTGTGTTTTATTTCTCAGGCAGGCATTGCCATCAAAGATGATGGCACATTGGTTGGGGAACTTGATGGCTCAGGTTTTGGGGTAGGATCATCAACAAAAGCTGCAAAGGCTGATCCCTCTGCCGTGGTGCAGCTGAAAAAAGGAAACAAAGAAAAGGAGAAGAAATTTAAACCCAAAGATCGACAAAGGTAAGCTCATCAAAGTGTTGTTCTCTGCTTACGTGAACCAAGTGTGACATTTTTATTCCTACTGATGAGCCTGCTTTATATATTCTGCATAGCTTTCTCAGATTTCTTTCATCTCAGCTGCATTGTTCCTTTCTCTAAATTGGCACATTATTTTTTATTTATTATACAGCTATCAGTATTAATGAAATGTTTTAATATATAATCTATAAACCATTAAAAATATGCAAAGCAATGATGTTTCTTTCTGATCCAAAATATGACAAATGGATATTCATGTTCATTATAAGATCATTATTTATTTATTATAATTAATATAATAATATTATGAGTTGTTAATGGAAAAGAAAATACAAGATCAACTATATAAATTCAGTGGGAACCTTGATTCTATTGCCATGCCTAAAATGTTTTTGCACATTTTAATTGGTTTCTTTAAATAACTTCTGTCTGATCTATGAGAATCCATATTTCCAAATTCAACTTTATATTTTTCAAATTGTTAAATCTAATTTGTGTGAGAATTCTGTTTGACCTCAATGACCAAGTCATTTATAAAGGTTACTTTTAATAAGAAAGTTAATAGCAATATATTTGCAACCAAGTGAGATATTAGTTTTCTTGAAATATATTCATTGCAACTATAAATATAAAATATCCATACATAGGCAGTTAATTTAAATGACAGTGTTTTCCATTGCTTGTCTTTTACGAAAAGTGAAAAATTTGGTTAAAAAATAACAAAATATCCTTTTTTTTTTCTTTTTTTTTTTTTTTTATAATTTTATAGCAGTCAAGGATTAACTTATATTTTTTAACTCTATATTTAGCTCAGTGGTTCCAACAGCAACCTGGTGGTTGGGAGTCTGGAAGTCTTTTTTCTTGGATTACAGTTGAAGATATTACTTTAGGTTTATATTTACAACTCAGGATGAGAAAACGTGTGTGCTACTATCTCCTGGTTACTGATAATCTCTGGCTTTTTTTGCATGCAGGTGATAATTATCATTTTCATGCTTTTCTTAAGGAAACCGATATTAAGGCTAAAAGACTAAGACTGTAAACAATTGTTTTCATTTTTGGATGACTTATCCTTCTAGCTGTAATACTATTTGTCTAATCCATAAATAATAAAATTCTTACAAGCTTAATAAAGTTCTGTTTTCTTGCATTATATCATTAAAAAAATAAAACAAGTTTTGATTGGTCTTTGTATGAAGCTAGTAATTATTATTCAATTGCAGTAGTCATCTTGTTACTTAGTAAACTCATGATCAACAGTTACTTATTCAAAACTGTTTTTGCTGTTACATTTGTATGAATCTGGTTTACCTCTGATAATTATTGTAAAACATTTGTATGTACAAGGTGAGCATTTCAAATGATAGCATGAATGCCACTACTTAAAGTTCACATCTCATTAGTAAAATATTTTGGGCTTGTAGAATTGGCTCAATTTAACCAAAAGTTAACTCATTAACTGCAGATGACAAGAATTTCCATCATTGCAATTCTTTGGTACAACTGCCAAAGATAGGAATTTCTGTTGTGGTTAATGTGTTTAAGAAAACTTCTTATATGACAGACCTTCTTTCTAATGTTTGTTACATCTGTAATAATGGTGTGATATAAATATTTAGAAGTTGGGTGATAAGTAAACCTCTTGCTGGAAAATAGTTCCAAAAGAAGAGGATATTCTATTTAACAAGTTATATAAAGATACAAATAACATTGGTAAGTAGTAGTATCTTTAAAATCATAGTAAGTAGTAGAACTGAATTAGTATGTGTTAATTATACTTTAAGTAGTATCTTTATTCTTATGGTAGTATCTTTAAATAAAATATTACATTTTATCTACTAAAATGAGGAGGCAGCAAAATCAGCACTAATTACACTGAATATCAGTAAATGACTTTGGCATTGTCATAGAATAAGTCTTTTAAAGAAAACAAAATAAAAGGTATCTTAAAAAGACTTATTTGTTAAAAGGAAATGTAACAGGACCCCCTCCTCCCAATCAAATTCCATGCTTAACCCTGAGAAGAAGCTTATATTTTAAAACTGATAATACTATAATTGCACACGGATGCAGGAAGGTCAATCTTAGCCAAAAAGTAATGACAGGCTCTTGCCATCAAAATCTGTTACTTCAAGTCATTAAGATGTAACTGAAAAAAGCCAAATCCTATCTTTTGATAATCTAGTCAAACTTGATATTAAAAACTTACAGCCATATCACATTGAAACACTGGCTCTTGTACGATCATTGAAGTTAACCATCATCAAGCCTAGTCAGTAGCTAGATGGGTGACCACTTAGAAATACCAGGTGCTGTAAGCTTAGTTATGCAGCTGGTGTAATGGATAACAGCTTGGAATTGTATGACGCTCGAGAGCTCCAATTCCATTTGGGTTCATTATATTCACACTTACGTGCAAATAATCTTAGGGAAAAGTTATTAACATCTTCTCCCCACCAGCTATAGGTTAATTAGTAGGATTTGTATCAGTAAATAATTATTTAAAAAAAAAAAAAAAAAAAAAAAAACTTCTTACAATCTAAAAATATTTTCTAGCTTTAAATAACCAGTAAAAGTTATTAAGTCATAAAAAAAACTACTCAATGATATTAAAAACATAAGCCTAATAATATAAACCTCTTTGTAATCCAGTATTTCTAATATTACTCCCTCTATAAAGTTTTCTTTTTGCCGATAAAAATGTATTGCTCTGGTTACATTTAAAATGGCTGTTTATTCAATGTGTGATTCTGGTATGTCATGTACATCTCATTGATAACTGTGTAACTTTCTTTTAGAATAAAAGAAATTGATGTTTTTATATTGAACCATGACACAGAAGATCTAATTTTAATTATTCCTTACTAACTTTCTTTGGCAAACATGGACAAATGTGCCTGCAATAAGATGTAGCATCAAAATGACACTTTTTCCTATGACACTGCTTTTTTAACTACCTTCACTCTTCGGCAAAGTTTATAGTTTTAAAAAACAATAATTAGAATTGTAATAAAACCTAAACATGACAGTGAATTTATAAATTTTCTTTGCTCTTAAGAATTGACAACAAAAATAATAAACACTATTATATTGTTTATTGGAATGGTTGGCAAAACATTGGCTAATTGCCAATTGATTCAAACTTCATAAAATAATAAATAGTAAGGATTTCCTTATAGTTGGTCCACATATTTTAATAAATGTTTATGAATATAATATTGTTTCCACATTTATTTCTTTACAAATTGATAAATGATAAATATTGTATTAGTTTTTAGAATGTTGTCAATATAAAATTATTCTTGTAAATAAACAATCTATTTTTTGTTATAAATTTTCAAGAATAAAAAAAAAAAACTGTATAAATTCACTTCATAATATATTTAGGTTTTATTCCAATTTTAATCATTGTTTTTTTAAGATAATAAACATTGCTGAAAAGTGAAGGCCATTGAAAAAGCAGAGTCATGGGAAAAACTTTTGACACTGTCTTATTGCGACTACATTTATTCATTTTCTTTGTCTTTTGACATTGTATAGTATCTTTCTTAATCAACATAAAAACTGAGCATAAATCATTTTGATGCTAGTGTAATAAGAGATTTGACATATGTTTATTATATATTTGCCTAATATAGGCAGAAGGGAAGAAATTTGATATGACTTTCCAAATGTAGGGTCTGCTCTGTTATGATATCACCTGCAAGTAACAGATTGACAGTCAATGTTGATATAATCCATTTACTTTGCTGCTTATTTTTAACATTGAGTAAATATTCTATGGTTTTTCTATTGAAGTGTTTTCATAAATATTTTTACTGTGATAAATTTGTTTTTTCATGATTCTGAGTTGGAAAAATCTTCTAGAGGAACAAAAATTTAAAGAATGATCATTTATTTGTGTATTTTGTCAGTCCAGGCTATAAGGTGGTGACCCCAACGAGCCCTCGTGAAAAGGAACAAAAATCTCCTTCCGTCTCCCCAACAGAAATCCGGGAGAAAAAAGCAGAAGAGAAAGAAGCAGAAGTCATTATCACTCCACCTGAAAGTGACTTAGAAAAATCAACAGAGAAACCTGACAGACCCAGGTAACTTATTTTAGAAATTCTTGCAAATTGCACATGTATCTAAGAGTGTTGTGGGTACAGAAATGGCCATGGGTAGTTTATTTAGATAGTTCATCAGGTGTAATAGCATAATCATTAACCAGAAATTGTTTACCCTATTTTTTCTTTTGAAAATCCCTGGATCTACATTTAGATCAAGAGATTTTCAGAAGAAAAAGTTTTATAATATTTTGTCATGTAAAGAGTAGGAAACTGTATTGTCTCATGAAACTTATCCATTTTTATACTGCTATCTTTTGGTGTCCATTAAACCTTGATGGTCATAATGGATCTTTGTAAAAATTGCAACAATCAATTTCTTTTTTCTCATTAAAGACTTACATAAAATGTAGGAGACAACTGTTCTGTTGTAACCAAAAGATGTCCTTTTTAATTAGATATTGAATTGAAGTATTTCAAGTTAACTTGTTCAGTAGATTTTAATTAAGAGAATCAATTTTTTTGAATGAAACTTCTCAGTTTTGGGTCATTCAGATCAGATTTCAAAGAACTCTTTGATATGGTTGGATAAACTTACAAGTGGAGGTCTTCATTTGGGTATTTGTATTTGTTGGTTGGGCCAAATTTAAGCGAATTGGCTGGCAAAGTCATTTGTTGTAGAAATCTGCTTCAGAGAGTATGTTTACTACCATTCACTGGGCTGACATTTAAACTATACCACAAAAACCCAGCAATTCTTGACTGAAGTTATTTTGAAGTATTTCTAACTTCTTGCTGGTAAGCCTTTGTTTTTTTTTTTTTTGTTTTTTTAACCTTTTTAGCTACTGACCATAATCAGTAAAATCAAAATAAAACCTTTTTTGTTTACTATAAAACTTAGTTGGTTTTCTGTTGTTCCCTTTACTTCTCTTTATTTTATTTTATTTGTTACACACACACACATGTGACATAATATATAAATAATCATCAGATATACAGAAAAGCTTTTAATAGATTAACTATTAATAAAAATTGTTGTCCCAGAAAAATTTGGTGACCTTCATAAGACATTTACTTTGTGTTTTAAAGACAAAAATTAAAAGTTCTTAATACACAGTTGACAAAAATCAAAATAGATAAAATTTGTGACTAAAGATTTAAAATTACAAGCCTATTTTAAACTAGTTTCAGATGGATTAATTAAGATAGTTTATTAAAAAGCAAAGGTTAGAAAGAATATATGTACAAAGGATTTTAGTGAAGCACTTGAGAATTCATTTCATCAAAATATTAGTAACAATATCAGTCTACTTAAATGTCCTACTTTCCATTTCTAAATCATTTAGGATTTATGGTGATTTTCTAAGCATAGTTTAGATGTAGATGAAAGTATGGGACACTCAATGAGGATTGAACTCACTACTTAATCATAACTGTTCTAGCAAGACAAGCTTGCTAACCATTACACCATGTTGAGATGCCCATTCAGGATTTATGAGAATAAATCAACTAATGATAAAGTTTTTAAAATAAAAAAATTAAGGTTAATATTTTTGAATTTGAGAGAATGGAAGATGTAAATTACCATTTTTAAAAAATTTATTTTTAAATCAGATATATATGTATATATTTTTCCCTGTCATGTTTCAGTGTTGAATTCTTAGTGTATGTAAGGTATTTGTGGAGATACATTCTTTCATAGTATTCCAGAGATGTAACAAAAGAAAAATTGGTGTTAAAACTAAACTTTGTCAAGTGGGGATCTGTATAATCTTGTAGAAATAATTAACATAATTTCTTCTTTAATGTAATTTCAAATTTGACACACTCAATCTATTAGATAATTACAATAATTAAAGCAATTTTAACTGTTCTTTCAAAAGGCTATAAGTGGCTCACAATAATAGTGAAAGATAACCAGCTTTTATTTGATTTTTTTTTTTTATTTTCAAAAAGTGATACTTTTTTTCTCTTTTTTAACTGTGAATTAGAGGACCAGGTTTTTATAACAGAATTTTGTTAGGTTCAAAATTTGGGAGAACAAAATATATCCAGAGAGATTTTTCAACTAAAATCAATTTTTAAAATTGTATTTTAAAAAGATAAAGTTTAATGAAGCAGTGTTTTTATATTGAAAGAATTTTTGTAGTTTTATTATCCTATCAAAAAGAATTTCCTACTTTCTGATAACAATTTTGTTAAAAAATTTTGTCACTTCACCAAAAAAATTTATATATTGTAGACATTTTTTTTAATTAAAAGTAGTAAGGAAAATTGTTAAATTTGGTTTAATTTTTCTGATTAGTGTGAAGAAAATCTTACCTTTTTAACCAGTTAGATACATTTGTAGATGTATGAAGTTAGCTTTAAGAATATTAATAAATTTTTATTACTACCTTTTATTCTGTAACTTTCTACCTCAAATGGTTCTTTGGCCTTGTACAGGGTGAACATTATTGTAAAGAAAGAAAAAAAAAGAATTCTGTTTAAAAGACACTGTTGGTTATTATTCAGTTTCACATATTTTTTTTTTTTAAATTCTTTGTCAGGAGGCCATATATATCATCATATTAAACATTATACAATATTAAAATAGTATTATTTTTATTACAGTACTCCTCCAAGTCGAACTATTGCTTTTGAGGACTTTAAAACACAGCAAGGATTTGAAATCAATCGAATTTTAACAGAAAACAAAGGTATAGCAATAAATTAATTGTTGGTAATTAAAATAGTCCAGTGTTTAATATCAGACAATAATTTAAATTCTTAATGCACATCCAAAATGTTTAAAAGTTCTCAGCCCAATCCACTTTTTCAAACATTAGATAATTTTTTGAAAAGGCTTCTCAAAATCAAGATTTTTTTTCAGCATCTTTTTGTGTAAGACTGGATTTCAGAAGATTTTCTTTTATTCAAGATTAAAAATTATTCTTTGCTGTAGATGGAAACTTCAAAATTATGAATTTCAGTTCAATACTCATACTAAAAAATTTGAAAGTAGTGATTTTTTTTTTTTTTTTTTGCCAATAGCTCAAGAAAAACTATAATTTATTTTCCTTATCAAGGCTTTACCAAGATTGCTAAAACTGAAACTGCTTTTTAGAATATTGCCATCAAATTCAAAATGAAACTAGTGAATTAATTTTGTATTCTGCAATGTAAGCTTTGTTGTATCTTGTTTCAATGCATATTTAAAATTGCTCTTTTGCATGCAGGGATTTTGTTTGCCAAGAAAAGGTTGTACACTGAACATGCAAGAGAAATCAATAAAATCAAGGGAGAAATTGACAAATGTAAAAAACATTTAGAAGACTGCACCAGAGAAAGACATAGACTTGGTAAGTTTATCAGTTCTACTCTTTATGTAGATCAAGTCTGTTAAGAATGAACAAGAATTGTTTTAAAAGTTAAGGTAATCATTCATATAATATTCACAATAATATTTATTTGTGTATATTTTTTAAAATGACCAATAAAAATAATTTATATTGTTTTTTGATAAATTGATTTAAAATAATTTTGGTAAAATTCTAAACAAGGTTTTTATTGTAACATTTCAAGGTAAAATAATAATCCATCTCTAAACTGATGATTTCAAGCAAGTTTCAGACAGGGAAAAATTTAATGTCTGATTCTGTCCTTCATAAAATGAATTTATATTACTGGCTTTTATGATGGGAGTTTTTGCTTTTACCTCAGATAATTCTGTTTTCTTTTTTTAGAGTTTCATCTGCTTGATTTCAATGACTAATTTTGTTGTCTTAATGACAAAACAAAAAATATTTGTGATTGCCTAATGTGAAGTCTCCACTTAATTCATTTATTCTTAAGATGTTTCAAATATCATTTAGTGAATTTAATCATTACCTCATTATCATGACAATTAATTCTTAGAATATCTTCAAAACAGGTTTATATTATATTTTGTCAGCATTTCACAGACATTTTCATACTTATATGCCTTTGCAATACTCATTTTGGTAGTTAAACTCACAATGTTTTGGACATTGTACCTTCTGGCCACCTTCAGCATTTTTTTTTTTTTTAAATTCTCTCTAATCTATTTGTTTTTGTGTTACTTGTTCATGTCTTTGATGGAACCAATGTATATTACTTTTCCTGTCAATTCAGTAGATATCTATCCTTTGCATTTTGGTCTTAAATGCAAGAGTAGAAGAACAGTGAAAGTCTGGAGAGAAATATAGAAGTGAGGCATAGCTTATCACATATGGATAGAAAAACAGTGGTCATGAACCACGGTGGAATGAATTTAAGACAATAGTCATAGAACAACACTGCATAATAAGTTGACTGAACAAAATCAGCATGTTTATGCTCTGACAACCCCCTCAGTAGACCTAGTATAGTATATCGTAGACAATCTGGGAGTCTCTGATTAAGAAAGAAAAGACACTCAAAAATTACATCACCGTAGCCACTTTAAACCTAATGTCTCTACTAAGTTATACCACTGGATTGATCAAGAGATAAGTGTTGATTGTTATTTTTTTATTTTATTTTAGTAGTGTGGAAAATGAAAGACTAGAAAGAATTAAATGATACAAGATATCCACTAAGCTTGGAAATCAAAATGAGAACACTACCCTGATTGATTGAATAAAAGGTTTAGTTTAAAATTCCAAGACAGTTACTGAGTACAGCAAACACTTATGGCTTTAGAACTCAATTTTACAAAAATATTTTAAATTTTGTGTATTAATTATTTGTTGTTTTTTTTTTTAGGTGTTTTGTATGATGAAGAAGGTGGAGAAGTTCTCAGTGAGGAGGAATTTCAGAGTCTCAAACATCTGAAACAACTCAAGAATGACTATCGACTGAAATTTGATGAACATAAAAGTCTTAAGAATGAAATCTTTTACTGCCAGAAGTTGGTTGATCAGTGTAGACAAAAATTGATTCAAGGTGAGATACCATTTTTATCAAAATCTAACAATTCTGATGGACAGATTAAAAAAGTGGGCAAAGAAAATCCTATAATAGTATTTTCTTTTCTTTTTTTCCTTGTTTCAATTAATACAAAATTCCAGGTTTTTCTCACTGGTCACTATGAGTTTTAATTGTCATACATGTAAAAACTTTGAGTATGATCATGACATCTAACAAAGTTGATGTTAATTTTATAGTAAATTCTTGAAAAGAAAACTTGTCTCAAATTCAAGTAAAATACTCTATACATTTATATTCAATCACGTATGTAAAATTTGACATCTGGTTATTTATACTCTAATGGAGCAGAGGTTGTGTCTTCTAGATGTCTTGTTAAGAATGTCTTGCAGACAAAAGAATTATAAATTTTGTTGCATTAAATTTGCTACTTTTGATTAGTATAGTTAATCAAAATAATGAGATGAAACTGCTGTTTTACAAACAAGTTATGTGAAAGTTTTGTTTTTTTTTAAGATGAGGTATTTTAACTATTTACATCATCTTTGGAATATTCATGTTTTAGGTGACATTTGTTGGAATTTCGAACCAAAACCTTTTAGTCAATGGTGGTAGATTGTTCTAATTCCATGCTCAGTTTAATTTCCCTTAGATAACAATCAACCAATGCTTTTATCCACTGGGCCAGGTGTCCTTAGAGACATTAGTGAGTGAATTTTTGTTTCAACCAGACCTCATATTACAATTGGTTGTTATTTTCCCTAGCTCTCTGTATTACCCGTTCCCATATTGAATTCATTTTTATGCTTGAACAGCTTAGAATTTTGTAGCTTAGTATATGCACTGATTCCATAAGTTTTCAAATTTTCCAGTGATGTTCCCTGTGTCTATTAGTTCAAGTTCATCCTTTTTCAGTTATCTACCTTTTCTCTCCATATATAGTCAGTCATGCCTGATTTTTCTATTTCCTCTAGAAAGGAATACAATATAGGAACCAGTAATACAGAGAACTAGAGAAAAACAAGAATAACAAAAAATTGTAATATGAGATCTTTAAAAAAAAAAAAAAATGATTACTGAGACATTAGGTTTATAAGTCCAAAAAATTAACTCACTAATGTCCCCAAGGACACATGGCCCAGTGTACAAAAGTTAATTGATTTATCTAAAAGTGACTTGACCCAAAGAGTTGCGAGTTCAGTCCCTGGTCCCAGCAGAGAGAGTTGATTTATCAAGAAGAATTAACTAAAATCCAAAGACAAGGCATGTGAAATTAGAACAATCTACCCCTACTCCAACAAATATCACCTGACGACGTCCAGAGCATTCGACAGCCAAAACATTGCTCAGATTGTTGCCATATTCTCAATGTAAATAGTTATACAGAATTATAAGGTATCAATGGATTTTTTTTTTTTATTTGACATTATATCCTATTGCAAATGTTATTCTGTGGATACCTAAGCAGACACTTTTTTTTCTTTTTAAACAGTGTAAATTATATCTAGTGTTCTTCAATTTTTGCACCTACATCCCCTTTTGTAGGAGAACCCTCCTGATCTGGCATGTTCTCTGTGGTTGAGTAGTGTAAAGATCAGAAGTGGTTTCTCCTACAAAGGGGCATACAGGTTCAAAATTTCTTTTGAATCTCTCAAATGCACAGGCAGGCAGGTAGACCTAATTCTTACTGTTAAAAAAATAAAAAATAAATAGGGCATGTACTCAAACATGGCATTCACAAAATGTTGTAGGACATAAGAATTGTTTATTCTAATGAAACCTGTTGCATATAGTAGTCACAGAATATTAAAGTAAAAAAATAATTAGTCTAATTTTAGTTAAATATTCAACATTTGGTTGTTAGAAAATAATTCTCCTTAATAGGTATTAATTTATCTATTACATGGGACTTAGATGATGAGTAAGTTTAATATAAGATGAAAGAATCTCTGTTTTGTTTCCAGATTTTGATAATTGGTTTGCTGAATGTTTCCTCTTACCTGGAACAGAAATAAGCAGCAAAGAGGCTGGCTATGGAGTCCAACTAGGTTTGAATGCACGCTACAAGATCCAAACATCTGTAAGTAGTATTTCCAATTTTGTGAGGTAGTTTTATTTTTACTTTTTTTCATGAGTTTAATGTCAATCAATCCTCTTTCTTTCATTAATTAACCTTCTACCTCCTCCCAATGAATATATGTGACATTATTATTACTGTGAGGCAATATGCTAATATTTCAGCTAACTCAATATTGACCAGGAATAAGCAAGATAACACAAATGGTTAATATTTACAAAAGGAAGGCAAGTGTATGCTTTATAAAGTGGACTTGATTATGAACATTCTGATGACAGGAAACTTCAAGTGATAAATAAAGATTCTCAAGTTTAAAGCTACTCTGCTGATACTAACATTATCAATTAAAGATATAAATGAATTTCTTTTTTTTTCCTTTTTTTTTTTTTATAGAAACGTTAGTTTTGCTCAGTTGTCATTACAACAAAACAAGTTTGTAATTCCATCAATTTTCCTTGGTTTATACAACTTTAGATTGAAGATGAAAAAGAAAAGTATGAACGAATCAAGAATGATTTATTAAAGAACGAACCTGACTTGGCTCCTTACCATAATGCTTTGATGAGAACACAACAACGAGTAAGTGTTAAGCTTTGTTTCTTATAAACAGAACCATAGAAGCCTCACTTCTATGTTTCATTGCAAACTTTTCCCTAACAGTTTATTCTGTAAATTTACTGTGATTTTGAAGGATAAAAATAGAACATGACCATTCTAACTTATAATCAAATAATTATTTACAGTAATTTTAGCAAATTAAAGTAATGAGCTGTGATTTAAACAAAACAAAAAAAATGCCAATAAGTACACTAAGTGTTATATTGACATTTCAGTTAAATTTTTAAATAAGATAGTAAAAATGTCTTTTAAATTTCATTTTTTTTTTTTTTTTTTTCATGGTTTGTCTAATACATTTTTGGTTTTGCAGAAAATTTATAGAAATGCATTGGCCAGATCATGTACTGACAAAACCAATAAGAATCAATAAGCTGACCTCAAAGAGGAAAAAGTAATGGTAATGTCATTTTTCTGTATGTCACTTAAGAAATTTTAAATAAAATTAAATGAAATTTATTTTTTTTTTTTAGTTTAAGGATTTAATTGCTATTTATAAAATTCATTAGGGACTGTGTAATAAATTGACAGCATACTATCAATAAGAGCTTAATTCATCAGACATAACACTTTTTTTTACTTTGGAAAAAACTAGCGTCAGGTTCCCAATCAAAAACAAGTCAACTGGGCCACACAACAGAATAAATAAGGAAAAAAAAAAAGAAGAGAAAGCTTGTTATTATATAACACAATTTTATTTATAGTCAAGTATCTGCCACTTGGTGTGAATATCAAACAGTGATCCTGAGTCACACCTGTCTGCCCCCTTGGGCTTTTTGGACACATTAAGGTAGATCTCAGTAGACAGCTAGCCTCACACACACAGAGACACTCACACACACACACACAGGGCTCCTAACAGATGCAGCAAAATTGAATTCCATTGCAGTACCTGAAGAACTTTTCAAGCTGATGCCAATCATCAGTTTGTCTCCTGGATGGCAACAAGGCCATTTGTTGGATGTTGGGACAGTAAGGGGGTTGGATGGGAGGCCTGACAGCAGAAATCCCACAAATCCTTTTATTAGGAAAGACTTATTGGTAGTGGTTATACCATCAATCAAGAACTGTCACGCTCAACCAAGACAGAATAACAATGAAGAAGAATATAAGGGCCCCCAAAATTTCATAGAAGTGGGAAGAATAATAATAGTTGTATTTTTTTTATCGAGTGTATGAATAACAGAAAAAAAAAAAAAGAAGAATTTTTTTTTTTTTTATAATAAAACTGAAAACCAGAGTGGGGGGGGCAGAAGAAATAAAAATAAATACATAAAAAATATGCAATAACATTTTTTTCATTTTAAAGAAACATTTCTTTAAAAAGATGATTTTAAAAAGAAAAAAAAAAGGTATATACTTTTTAGCAAGTGGTAAAGAAAATTGATAAAAAATACCGATCTGCTCACCATTTCCCAAATAGAGCTGTCTTTTTTATATATATATAAATAAAAAGAGCCACTTTTGTTTTATGATGACAACTAAGTAATCTAAATGGAAGAAAAATCCTACAGGTCTGCCCATGGCATCTAGAATTCCATCAGATGTTTGAATTAAACAACCAGAAAAAATATAAAGCAATTATTTTGAATTTTTCATTTGTATAATTACAGTTAATGATTAAATTGTTAGTTTTTAATGAGTCAGGGCAAATTTGTTGTTTAAATGTTGAAGGAAGAAAAGGAGCAGTTTCTAGTATCATTCCAAGCAGGACATAGCAGTATTTATATATAAGAATTACAGAAAGGTTAAACAAAGCACCATCATCAAAAAGTCCTTTGTCTCATTTGATGAGTAGTAGTAGTAGTAATAATAATAATAGAAATTCAAAGCTGATTTTTCTACAGTTTGTACATAGATGCTTTTATGAACTTACAAAAACTTAATAACAATAAAAGAAAACAAAAAACACTTGCAGTGTAAACTGGATTTGTAGAAGAAAAAAGAAATGGTTAAAAATTTTTTTGTCTTTTTATAAATGTTAATAATTTATTGTTTAGATTATACAACTTATTAACAACGGATAAATGCAAGTCCCAAAGGGATTCTGGGTTTTAGGGATTGGGAGATATAACATGAAATACCGACTGACGAGCATCTATACCATTTGTGCGGCACTGTTATGAAATCATGCATCATACATTGAGGGGGGAGGAGGAGGTGTATGTCAACACTTGCTGCTTGACATGCCTACAGTTTGACAAATGACAAAGCTGTCAATAAAAAAAATATATAACTCCACTATTAACATGTCACTGTGGATCAGAATATTTTTTTTTTATTCTATCTTTAACTGCCTTTTGCCCTTGTTGACCAGCTTGAAGAAAAACATTTTCAGAACAAATTAAGACATCAGTCTGTAGAAATGAGGAAATTGTCTTACATTTTCACAGGTTTTTCTGTTTCTTCTTTAAACAAATGACATTGTTACAGGACTGACTAAAAACATAAATAATATTGTATCAAAAAGAGAAAAAAAATTTTTTTTTTTTTCATTCTTTCTTCAAAGACTAAATAACAGTGTCAATAGCATCGACAAACAAAAATATAACAAATTGTATCAACTGTCATGGGGACTTGACTAAGACTAATCCCACAGCAGGATGAAAAATAGAATCTCTATAAGCACTGAGTTGTCCCCAGAGGAGCAGTAGTTATATAGTGTCCATATATGTCCATGGTTAGGGTGGCTGAAGGTTGGGCTATTCATGCCAAAGTAGACCAAACCTGCCAACAGAGTTCAATACCCACAGTCAATTTCAGACACACTTAAAATTCTTTCAAGATGGTAAAACTTAACCAATCAAGAGGCCAATAAAGAAGACCTTTCTTTTGAGCAGCTATTGCTTTCCTTTCATATTTTTTATAGTAAAATCAGTTTTACATAGTTGAATAGGCAGAGCATATTTTGCTTATATAGAAGTGATACACAAACATGCATGCATGCATGTGTATGCACAAGTAATTTTTTTTTTTTGTGTCAATGCAAATAAACATATGCATACAATCATTATATATATATCTCAGAAAATATGAGAGCAAGAATGTGTGTGTATGCACGCACACACACGTGTAAATCAATCATGTATTAACATGCACGCACACAAACACACATGTACATATTAGTTGCCCTATATATATTTATATGCACATATATAAACACATGCAGCATACATAATACCTGAAGCATGTATGTTGCATGTAGTGGTGTGTATGTACACACATGTGCAATGTATGTTGCATGTAGTGGTGTGTATGTACACACATGTGCATATATATATCTATAAGCAAATGCATATAGGTCTTAGCCTTGGAGGGGGAGAGGGCAATGTCTGAAATTATTGATCATTATTGCAGGTCATCAAATAATGAAAGGCTTAGGTTGGGTTGGAACCGATGAGGCCTGCACAGAAAGAAAAAAAAAAAATTCCATTTTAAATTTTCCTGCAACCATTAGAAAAAGTATTTTCCTTTTTTCCAAAATTCATTTTGATTTTGTGTGTGATTTTTTTTTTTTTTTTTTTTAATTTAAAAAATTTTTTTTTTTATTATTGTTTTTCATATATTTTTGGCAACAACTCATTTGACTTTGTTTTGTCCAACCATAACCTTGGTGACAAAGTTGACAATGGCAAAGGCAGGTTGTTCTGGATCCAGTTCAGCAAACAGATGACAAGCATTGTCCGACACTCCTCCTTGTTTCCGTGCAATAAATCCAAATATTCTATATGAGCAGAAAAGAAGAGAAAGAAAATCATTTGCAATTTAAATATACAACACAACATTAATTATCCCCTCCCAAACCTATCCTAAGTAAATTATATGGTTAACCACCCCCCTTCCACAAATTTTAACCAGGAGCTGAAGAAATGAACACAATTTTAATATATAATACAAACCTGATAAAATGCAAATGGAAAATCTAAATCAAGAATGATAAGATTAATAAAAGAAATCACCTTTTAAACAAAATGTTACAATTGCAGTGTTAAGCTATTTTCAAAATATGGACATTGATTATCTCTCATTGGCCAGAAGCCTTTTCTAGCAAGATTATATAGTTCAGAATTGTAGCAGAATATTAAAAAAAAAGTCAGATGATTAAACATATGTTTGTCAAAAAGGTAATTTTTCTTTACCTATTTTATGTTTGAATTCTAAAAGGAGAAAAGATGGCAAGGGAGGGGTATTAAATATCAGTTTCAATCATTAAAGTCATAAACAGCTTTTCTCACTTTAATTTAAGCTTTTGCATTATGGATAAAACATGAAAACGTTCAGAAAAATTGCTTACTTGGCTTCTGTTGGTGCTCCAGGCACATTTGACTTTGTCCACCTGAAGAGAAGAAAAAAAATGAAAATTAATTTAATGACACTTGTTGGGAATAATTTCAAAAGTGGCTTAAAAAAATTAACATTGATTATTTTGAGCCATTCTAATGAATATATAATCTAGTAAGTCTATTAGAAATTATCTTTCTCACTTCATATGAATCAAGTTACCATTAAAACAATCTATTTTTGTTGAGGCTGTGAAGTAGCAGACGAAACAAAGTAAAATTAAGTTTACTTTTTAAAGTGTACAGATAAAAAAAAATAAAAGTTTTTGACTTTATTTGCATCATGACAAAAGTTTTTTTAACTGAATGCTGAGTTGTCCTTGTTTGCAAACTATAATCTATGAATTTGGTTATTTTTTTTTTTATGCAATTTAAAATTCAAGTGTATTCATTTTTTCTCATCTAAATAGTTGTAAAAATATCAATTTTTTTTTTTTTTTTTAAACTGAACATTTTGAACTTTGTAATGATTTACTTCAAATAAGTATAAATCCTTGTGACACTGAGTATCATCTTATTTACCTCCTATCTTCTGGGTCGATTCCACAGTAGGTTACTGCTGTAACAGGGTAATGGCGTCGGAAAAATAGTCTGCAAGAGATTTACATAAATGTTTGCATGATTCTGATATTAGATTTCCATGATAATGTTAAAAATAAAGAGTTGTGAGACAAAAGTGGAAAGTGAATGATTTTGAGGAGAAAACACTGACAGGTAATTTTGTGATGAGGTGGGTGGTGATCCACATGTACAGGGCAAGTAGAATCCCAAAGAGGCTCGATAGCATTTAATGAACAGACTTAAAGATAGAAAGACCTAGTTGGTGTGTAGAACTGGGAAAAAATGTGACAGAAAGCTAGTTTGCATTTAATGATTATTGGAATTAAGTAAGTAAAAAAAAGAAATAAATAAGAAAGACATTAAGCAGTTTTCAGTTTGTTGGCCATGTGCTTTCCAGAATGAACAATAGTCAAATTGTATCAATACATCATTGGTGACATGCCACTGGCTTAGGTTTTATATATATATATATATATATATATATATATATGGATGGATGGATGGATGCACAGTGTACTTTGGGGTAGCCTGCTAAAGCCACCATAGAGATGAGGTAAATGTGACTGGGACAGACATGTGATAAGAAAATCATCTTTGCAGCCATAGATAACAAGATCACCAGATTATCATCCCAAACTTTAAAAATTAGAAGAAAAAGTAAATAATACAAATGATTGTCATACTATCATCGTCAAAGTTCAGATCTTTGCATATCATTGTCAAGTATTAGAATTGAGGAAATAAGATGCTAGCTAAAATAAAGTATGTTTTGTTAAAATCTTAAAATTCCATTTTTTTCTTATTATTTCAAGATTATTTTTAGTTTTGTGTGACTAAACTAGACCTGCTTTTGGTTGGTTTAGGCATTCAATGTTTCAAACCTATACTTGAGATATTTTCAAATCTTCTCAAATCAACATGGCTAGAGGAAGTGACTGAAACACAAGGCTGTTGCCCATAGCATTAAATTTGATTGCCTTAATCAAGATTGTCCAAGCCATAGTATTATAGTTTTGCTATAATTTGCTCGAGAGAAAAATAAATTTGAAAGCTTGTCTATCAAGTGGGATTAGTTTCAGAATCCTTATTCAAATATTAAATGATTGCTTTTATTTGCATTTTTTTAAGACAACCATACAATAGAAACTGGCCTCTTGTTCATCATAGAAAACTTTTTACTAACTTTAGGTTCTATAAAATATATGAACTACCAATAGCAATTACGATAGAAGATCTATGAAAATAGAATTGATTGGAGAAGATATGCTTCCTTTCAGCTGAGATATTTTTTAAAAATTCCATTTAATTTTAATATGATCAAACTGATGGTTAATGATTCAATAATTATTCATAAAAAAATATTTCAGGAAGTGTTATCCTTATTCGATATTTCTTACAAAATTCCAGTGTTTATATAATTTAAAATTACTAAGCTTTGTTAGTATTCAAACTGATAATCGAGTAATTCTGAGATTTACTATATTGCTGTTTCAATATGAAAATACTGAATTCCAATATATTTTGTAATGATAGCAAATCATCTTACTTCCTGTTGTTGTCAGTCAGTGTAATTCCTTGTGATGAAACTTTGAAGTGGACAACTGTGGTTTTAGGTATGGGGTCCGTAGAGAAGGTCACCTTGGCAGCTTTGGCCACAGCTTGAGGTCCAGTCAAGGATTCAGTATCCACAGTATTTAGATAGAGTACATTGCAGGCTGAAAGAAACATTTAGAAAAATAACTCAAAATCACAAATGAAAATGTGTTTTCCAAACTCCTTTGTCCAATTCTGTATAGTAACTTGAATTAGGTTCACAAAGTTAAACTAATTTTTGGTCTAAAAAAAATAATGAAATCTAATAATGTAAAATTACAGTGAACTCATATTGAATTAATACTTTTGAGATATTTAGTTTGAACAACAAAGAAAAAAATGGATAGTTCTCTAAAACAATGTTAAATGATCAAATTCAGAATGCTAACAGTTTAATGCCTTGTTTATATGATGAAGTACATTGAGAACAGAGTAGTCATGTGCAAAAAGTGTTGAAACTTTTAAATGTATAATTTATGAATAGACTGATTTTTCTTTCATTTTTATCAATGATTGTCATGTAAAAGTTTTAGTGTTGTGTCAATTTTTTTTAAGTAATCTGACAAATGTAAGTCTCTTCAAATACATATCTTTGTAGAATGGAGAGTTTTTTTTATCTGTTTAGACAAATTATATTTTCATATGCATGTGTAAGTACATACTGCTATCCAAGAGTTCAGAGAATTTGAACATTGTGGTCAATCTGTGGAGCTACCCAAATATTTCATTTTCTATTCAATTCTTTCTTTGCTTGTAGGAAACCATTTTCATCCTTAGATCCCCTAAATTTGTGGGTAGCACTTTGTAGATAAGCTTAAATTAACTTGTTAGTGAAAACATATGACCACATATCAAGTAACAATTAAATATAAGTATTTTGCAGTATCCATGTTTTTAAATAGTACACTGAAGTATTCTTTACTAGAGGAAAATAGACAACAAAATTGCTTCAAAATCACACAGATTTATAAAAAGAAATAATAATGAGGAAATTGAGCAAAAATAATAATAAAATGGATAGAAACAAGCTTTACCTGCTCCCTGAGCCAGCAGTGCAGCTGCAGAGCTGGGGACCTCAGAACTATGGGGGCTTTCAGGGTTGCTCACTTCACCAGCAGGATCTGAAAGAAAAAATATATTAAAAGTTATTAATGCTAATATTCTAAGGGATTCCTGATAAAGAATAACGTGCTTTACAAGGAATATTTCATGTGGCTCTTGATAAACATCAAGATTATTAGATGTTGTTGCTCTATTACTGCAACAATATCTAACATGAAAGCAGAAAAGGATAAATATTTGATTTGAGAAATTAAAGAAAGCTGACTTGTAGAAATTAAAGAAAGCTGATTTGACATTACATAGGATACAAAAAATATATCTAAAAGAAACAATTTGTAATAGGAATAAAATGTTAGTAAGCAATAATTTTAATCTAGTCTGACACAAGTTTATTAATAGTGGTACATTCAGTAAGGATTAAACTTGTGAGCAATGAATTGCAAGACAACCATCATTCTATTAAATGTATCTACAATATATAAGAAAAAATAGAGATTTTGACTACAAGAAAACATTTGGCAGCCATTTATAATTATATATATTTGTTATACAGTTTTAAACAATTTCAGATGCTTGTCTTTCACTTAATAGCCTTTTTGAATGAAATAAATTCACTATTAATATGTGAAATTTTTAATCGCAATTACTGAAGATATAATATGCATAAAGATCTAAGTAAATGTTTGCATTCATGAAAGTATTTGACTATTTAAATGCTTATAATATAACCAACAATTAAACAAACATTTAACTGTCAGTATATTCAAAAAAAATTATATATATATATATATATATATATATATATATATATATATATATATATATTGCATGATAAATATGAAACATTATCTCAAGTTATAAATAGGATTTTTTGCACATAGCATAATTTCCTTTTGTAGTGACAAAAATACATGAAACCCAACTCTTCTGAACATGCAACCATGAAAAGAAATATTTTCGAATAAATTCCTCATTAAAAAATGAAAATAATTTGCTTTTTACCAATTACCAAATTAATTAGTAAAAATTTGTAAAGTTTAAAATTAATTTTCCTTGAACATGGACATAGCATAAGAAGCACCTTGTATTTTAATCTTGAATACAACAATCGAGAAAGAAAAAAAAAAAAAACTTATTTAAGTTGGTTTTCTATTTGATTTTATTTAAAGGAGTGTTCAGTTTTGTTAAATATTTTTGAATATCATTTGACACTTGGCTTTCTAGGAAATTGCATTTCTCTTTATAAAACATTTCACCAAATTCTGCAGAAGTCAATCATTTTGCAAGAAATTCAAATATTAGCATCTTTACAATTATTTGAAAGCAAATGTATCAGGATGTTTTTTCTTACTTTTTTTTTTCTTTTTTTTTAAATCTTTTAGAGAGCTTATGTTTGAGATTCAAGAAGGTTATAATTATAAGAATTTTTGTTTAAAATATTTAGAGCATAGTTAATTTATAGTAGAAACATACAAAATGTTATCTAAAACAGATTAAGTGTCAGAGTGACGAATTAAAAACATTTTTATTTTTGTAATTGTCAAGAAACAGGCATGTTGTATAATGAGTAATATTTATACTTTCAGATTGTATTTTGGTTGCTACTTGTAAAATGTTATTGATGCAAGAATTTCTAAAGTTTCTAGAATGGTATGGCCTGAGGAAAGGAGTTTAGAGACTGCTGCCATAAAAAAAATTCCTGACTGAAAATATTTAATAAAATAAATGAAGAAAAAATAAATTGTTTATTTCTTTACAAAATAGACAAATAGTAGTTATTTGCAGAAGTATGTAGCACCTAGTGAGGATCAAATTCACTAGTAATAATTTGGTAACCTAGTTTGATAACCTTTACTTGATACAAGGTGACTAACCTAAGCAAATATTAGTAAAGCAAGGATAGATGATCACAATAAAGAAGATAGACTAACCCGATTCAGGGAGGACCAATTTATAAGGCAATGCCAGGGGAGTAATGGAATGCTGATAGACAAGAGCTGCCAGGCTTCCTGCAAGGAGACATTTTTAAAAAGTTTCACACACAGTTAAATATATTTTCTCAGAAATTGGCTAGAAACATTTAATTCTACATTTATAGATTTTGAATAACAAAACAAGAAATAACTCTGCTTTTTGGCATAAAGAACAATTCATAAACTTGATATTTTTCATCCACAAATAATCAGATTTCAGAAGTTTCTCAAGCTTTATATATATATATATATATATATACACACATACACAAGCCAAATTACTCATGCCTTGCTGCATGTTACACATTTTTTTTTTTTGTAAGAAAATGATGATTGATTTTAAATCACTGTTATAATTTGTTGAGAAAAATGATGCATTTCATTATTACTCAATGATCTTGCTGATGTGACTGCCGTCTTTTGATTTTCTCCTATATTTTGGATAGGAATCACTCCCCTGTTTAAATTTAAATCAAAGGGAAAAAATTTCAGTGTGTGTGGGTGGGGGGAATGTACTCCAGGACCCCTTTTGATCAAAATGAAATATACTTATCCAAGTACCTTGGGTAATTTAATTTCAGAATATATATGGTTATGGAGGTCTATCTCCAAAATCCTAGGAGGGGCTTGATAACAAACAGAGGCTACAACTTTTTATATATATATATATATATATATATATATATGAGAGAGAGAGATATCATGTCTAGCTACTTGTTACCCAGCACCCCCGTCTGCTAGGACACCTAGCCAATCTCTGTTGCACCTGTAGTTGATACTGCAACGATGCTGAGCTAACCTTTCTGGAAGAGAGCTCATCATCTGATATGATCAACATTTTTTGAACAAGGCCAGTAAGCTCAAATCTACAGACACAATGATTAGTGACTTTGTTCTAGCACAACCATTAATAGCTTCTAAACAGTTCCGTCTACCCAATTTCACTCACAAGGCTTGCGTTAATTCATCTTGTGGTTTTCTAGCACTTTCCAAAGACGTTGTGTGCTGGGATCACCTCCACAGCTTAATAACATCAAAGTCACCTCTCTGACAAATCGACCATGGTGAAATTCAAAACTAGATTTTATGGTCAGAAGGCAAATATTCTAACCACTCAATCACACCCCCACAGGCATAAGCCATATTATGTAATATGCACCAAATTTTAACTTTCTAATTTTTCTTTAAGACATATCAAGAGCATTAACATGGCATCTGACACAAAAAATGAAAAGGCACACCATGTTCATAGCACTAGTTGATAATCACAGCAAGATAGCTTTTTGAAAAGTGATCAGGAAGAACAACAGGTCAGGTGGCTCTACACAGACCTTGCAAAGATTCCCATAGTCAAGCATTCTATTCAAGTAATCTGATGGTCCTGAGATTCCTGAATAATAATGACCATGTTATCCCATTTATTCTTGCAGGGCTTCAATGCCAATGTCACTAATAATATTGAGTTGCTGGACACAATGGCCAAGCTCTGGTTCAAAAGGGATGATCATTCACAAAAGCCTCTGAATATTGAATCTGATATTTTGGCTGGAAGGTTAAACATTGGAAGTTCAAAATGGCCTATGAACAACTATAGTAAAAAAGGCTTTCATAACCCAAGAATGGCTTGCTGAGAATTTTCACAATCATGTCACCCCCAACACATGACTTTGAATCCCCTGGACAATTATATCTGGTGGGATCATTGAGAAGGAAACCAACCTTTCAATACCATTGACTCCTTGAAGGTTGTCATGATCAATGTGATGGTTGACATAAAGAAGAAGCACTTGATTTTTTTTTATATTATTTGTTGTCAATTACCAGGTGTTTCTTGTACACACACACACACATTTGCATGCACACAAATACAGGAATAAATCCATAGCCTAATAAGGGAGGGGAAAAAAAGCATTTATTTTACACAAAGATTTATTTCTGAGGAATTGTTCAGAAAAAAATTATCCCATTTGGTCAGTCTCTTTTTTTTTTAATCAATGGTTCACCCTACCTCACTCTCTCTAGAGATATATAGAGAGAGGTAGTGTGAGAGCAGAAGATTCTCAGTGCCAAGAATTATGTTTTGTGTAACTAAATCTAACAACAAAGATCAAGTGACAATTTAAAGATGAATATATATATATATATATATAGGCAGACAATTGCTGATACCTCCTAATGAGTGAACAAAACAATTACACAAACAGACAATATGAAACTCCGAGTTGGGTGCTGAATATAACATCAAACAGCTAAGTGACAAATTTTACAGTGGATTTTACAAGTACCAAACAGAAAAAACAAGTAAGCATGAAATGCTTACTTTTCAACTGTTATAGATTAACCAGTACAAGAAGTCATGTAACAATAAAAACTTCATCATCAAATGTAATCTTATAAAGATGGAATATATAATATTTTATGCCTTTTAGTAATTTAGAAAAAAAAAGTTTTTAGTAATTTAGAAAAAAAAAAGTTTACTAGAAACTTGCTGTATAATCAAAAACTGAATCATCAAACAGCAAAATAGAAAAGCATGTAAAAGAAAGACGTCTACATACCAAAAACAGGCTCATTACTACACCCTCGAAGACGTACCCCTTTTGGAGTTGGTTCAATGAGAAAGTGGCGTACTAGCTCTGATGCTGGATCAGCACCTACAAGAAAGAAAGAAAAAACATTATGAAAACAAGACATTTCATCTGGACTAACATAATTAGATATAAAAACAATTATGAGTTTTAACATTAGTCATAACTAGTGGGGTTTTTTTTGTTTTTTTTTACTGAAGATCAAGTCACAAATGGTCTCTTTAATACTACAGCACTCTCATCAGTATTCTAGCTGATGTGGTCATATGGGTGGCTTCTATTCTTTTAATTTCACATTCATCCAACTTCTTTGTCGAACTCTTCAGGACTGTTCCAAGTGCTCCAACAATGATGGGCACAACTGCTGCCTTCATCGTCCACACTTTTTTCAGTTCTCTGGCAAGGTCAAAATATTTACCTTCACCCCACCTCACCAATTTTGCTCTGCTCGAACTATTAAATCCACTCTCTGACAAAGATCAGATTTGGTCTGCAGGTTTGGCTTTTATTTTCTAAGAGATTCTGGTTTTTAAACATCATCATTTTTATATTCATTGAATTTTCATGCCAGAAGCATCTGATGGAGATTGAGTTACAACAAGTATCCTCAATCAACACTCCTCCATATTCTAGCCATTTTCAGTGGGTCATTTGTGAATCCTCCTCAAAATTCCATTTCTACCAGGCTACATAAGTTTTTGAAATTGTTTCCGCTGCTCTGATAACAATGGGCACAGCTGTTACTATTATTATTATTAATGCAGTCATAACCATTTGGGGAATATTAAGTGATTGCTTAGTTTGGAGGATAAAGCAAAAATTGACACTTGAGATGTGTCTGTAGGATCCTGAAGTAATAAATTTAACAAGGTACAGCTGTGAACATGATCAAAAATTTAAAAAAAAAGGAACCAGAAAAGCAAGAATCCTATTTCTGCAGTTAGCACCTACTTTACAGCCAAAAAGTCCTATATCAGGGAACTGTATTAAAATATCTAAAAATAAACTTCTCAGGATAATAAATTTATATATATATATATATATATATATATATATATATATATATATATGGTATGTTTTCAAAATGTTGCGATGGGAAAAAAATTTACATCTTTGTCAATGGAGGCATCATTATATTTTGTGGCATGCTACTTTGTAGAAACCACAAATAATTACAATTATACATAAAATAGCCTTATCCTGTCAGTAACACTTGCATTAATTCCCAAACAATGACAAACTTTTTCTTATTCCTGATTTTTACTCTTATTTCAATTAAAACTTGCTAAAACAAAATTTATGTAAAAGAAGAAAAAATTCCAAAATTTGGTGAAAAAGTGTGAAATCTCCCCAATGTTCATCATTAGAAATATTTAGTTTGTTTATACAAAATATGAAAAATCTTAAGCATGGAAGTTATGGAGTAGCAGTAAATTCAGTGGGCAGCATTATATAATCATAATTAAAATGCAGTTTGCATAAATTATAACACTGACTAGTGTTTCATTCTCCACTCATATCACTGGGATTTTTTTTTTTACTAGAAATATGTAATCTTTAGAGTGAATGGAAGTTTAAACATATTTATTTAATAAGTTAATTCTACCTGTGATATTATGGTTTCTATAATAGTTTCTTTAATATGAAGAATATTAACAATGACACTTTTATAGGAGTGCTTTCAGCTGATAACCCAAAATGATTATCCTTTAAAAGTTTATCAGATCAGTAACATTTTCCCAATAATTAAAATTCAGAAGATGCCCTCAAAAATAGAAAACTGAAATTCCTTGGGTCATTTGAGATTCAAGTAAGTAATACTACTCAGAATAGAAGCATAAACTTAAATGTTATCAAAGAAAAAAAAAAAAGAACTGTATTAATTTATATGAAATAATATTTGTTTTTTTTTTCACTCCCTAATACTGAGAACTTAACAAAAAAAAAAGGAAATAATGAGATGATTCAGATTGTAAAATTGCTGAAATCAGCAATAAGACTTGCTGTCACTTGGTCCAAGCAATAGAGATCGGTGTGAAGACATGAATGTAGATAATCATGGCAATGCTATGTATCAATATAAATCACTAGAGAGAGGCCATGTGATGCAACAATAATAAACAATATCTGTAAATATTAAGAGAGAATTATATTCTTGATTATATTAAATTTTACAAGTCTCTGGGTAGATATTTACACACAGGCTTCAGCTTATAGCAAACTTCTTTTTTTTTTTTTAATACAAATATGACTCACCAAGGGATTTTTTTCCCAAAAGAAGCAAAAAACACCCACACCCACTCAGTAATATAAATGGTTATGATGACAATAGTAAAAAGACCAATGAGAAATATAAAAAAATAAAGTCAATGTTTTGTTATGTTGTTCACCCTTGACCTTTTTAATTATGAATACATAAATTACACAAAGGAAGATTTTTTTTTTTAATAAATAGAAAGAACTAAGATGCAGTCACTCTGATATTAAATCTTATTGGTAATCTTTTTCATTTCTTTATTACAAGTTATGATTGATAATGACAATTGAAACTTGAGTTTTCAATTAATTATATCATTGGATGGAAGAGCACAAAAATAGCTACAGTGTAACCTCAGTTCTTGAATGTCTTACATGTCAGTTTTTGAACAGAAAATTTGAGATGAAAAAGCCTCGGTTATCAAACAACATTGCCAAACTGAGTTAACCTGAACGGAATAATTTCCGAGTCAACTGCTGTGTTGTATAAATTCGTGTGTTGTAGTGTGCTTTTCTTTTTCAATTTTAATGTACTGTGACTTTTTTCTCTACATTGATTCCTATTGGAAAAATAGTTTCAGTTTATGAATGGCCTTCAGGAACGAATTAAATTCGTGAACCGAGGTTCCACTGTAAGTTGCTAATCAACTCTTGAAACCCACATACATTTTTATGAATTTTATTTTCTTATCATAGTTTTTAATTTTTAAAATTTTTTTACTGATCTCTTCTTGGGTGGAATTCAAACTGGGAATTTGAAATAAAGTAGTAGTTTTGAACAAGATATGGACTTGTCTTTCATGGAAAGGAAGCTAACAAAATTGTCATTTCTGCCAACAATTTTCTTACTAATTTGTTTTAAGATTCTGAAATGATGTATTTTTATAATGAAACATTTTAAATAATTATTTTGAAAGGCCAATGACTACATTTGACTAACAAGACATGATTGAAAGAAAACTAATGAAATACTTATCTCAGAAAAACTTAAATAAAATTTCCCTGAGCCCATGAAATGAATTGAATAAAAAATATGTATAGTAGAATAAGCTTGAATTAGAATTTTAAACCAAAAGAATTGTACTTACTTAAATTGCACATTGATATTTTATAATATGGAGAAACTATATATAAACTTTTATACATCAAGAACAATTTTAGGAAGAAAAAAACTATGACAAAGTGTAAAAAGATTCTGCCACATGTTTTGTCTGATTAAGTCCTAAAGGATGAAATGTGTCATACAAAAACTTTTCCTATTTTGTCATAGTCCCCCCTCCCCAGGCTAATATTTATAATATATTAATTTACTCAAATATAGCCATTGTTGTTGCCCAATATAAGTAATTTTGCAACAGCATTGATTATATATTCATCAAGAATAAACTCAGATTTTATTGATGCAATTAATTATTATTACATATAGGAAAGAATTCCTTCCTTTTAAGTCATTAAAAGTAAAAATATTAAAAGAAAGTTAACACAAAAGAAATAAAAAAAACCCACAATTAACAGCTTGATCACCCCTATTTACTACTAAAATATTACATTGTTATGGTAACATGAGGTATATTTGTTTCTTGATATCAGAATATTTCATTACTAAGAAGGAGAGAGCAAGCTGTGTGACTGATATATATAGTCACATTGTATTTGCTTTAATAGAATATATTATGATAGAAATTAGTAGGATTTTATTATGAAGAATTTATTAATGCACTTATACATTAGTCATAAAATAATCACATGAAGGATTAAAAAAAAAAATTAAAAAAAAAAGGATCCAAAATCTAAAGAATTTTAATCCAACCAGATCCTTAATAGAAATTACTGTGTTACAGGCTGTTTTCTTTATGGGTAACTTTGCTCTAAAACTATGACAGATAATAGTATCACATTTCTCCAATTAGTTTTAAATATTATTAGTTATTGCAAACAGCTGTGAATGGAGACTGGATTTCTACACCCAAATCAGTGAATGTCATTCAAAGAAATAATGTTAATAACACAAGGCATATAAATGTGGTGTAGAATGAATAACAAATACATCAAAATATCATTTTACAAAATGAGCACTGAAAAGGAAATAGAAGGTAACATTAAAAGAAAAAATCTTATCTAATTCTGGAGCAAAAGGCTTCTTGGAAGCAATTCAAAATTAACAAAACAAACTTTTTTTTTAACCTTAGGCTATGTTTTAACATAATTCAGAAAAAAAAAACTTTGGTTGGCACTGGATACTGACTTGAATAATTCAGGGGGTGGAGTGGCAAACATGAAGAAAAATAATAAAGAAATGAATAAGAAGCTGGATTAGTTTAATCAAATATTTATTTCTTTTTTTCTTTCCACAAAGTCTAGTTTTTACATAATTACCAAATTTAAGCAATATAAGTTTGATTATTGGAAACCATATAAAAATTCTAAGAGTTATGGCTACCAATGATTAAGCTGTTCTCTCTTTGTTTTTACATTGATGTCTAGGTCATGTACATCTGTCAAAATAAAATTCCAACATTTTGATATGTTTGCTTTATTTTCCTTAGAGAAAGAGAAAAAAAAATCAATGGCACACAACAACATTACTTTCACTTTGTTATATTTTGAGAAATTTACTTCAGTTAAGGCTGAAATTTTGTTAGTTGTCTTCTTCTATATGCTGTCTCTTCAGGAAAGGTGATCATGGCTCTCCACAATTTCCTATCTTTTGTAGCTCTTTCTTGGCATTATATTAAAACTACATTTGGATAACAGTTACATATTTGCAATGTTAAAAAAAGATTACTTAAAAATGAATAAAATAAACTTATTCTAGAAATAGTGTTTTATTTTTTATTTATTTTTTGCTTCTACTTAATGATCCACTGGATTTTGACAATGATGATTTTTGTTTTCAATTTCCTTTGAGCTTTGTAGTATTTTTCAAAGTTTCAAATTGGTACAAAAGCCAGGTGGTTTTCAATAAAAATGATGCAAATAATTTCATCTTGATTTAAAGAAAGGGGAATTAAGAATTTTTATAAATAAAAATAAGATGTTAGAAAAGATTGACGTTCATTAGTTTTTTTGTTTTTTTTTTAATACTAAACTTGAGTTTCATAAAAGCCAAATCAACTTACCAGCTTTGGTCTGGACATTGGGGGGTACAGTGGCTACCTTGAGTGCCAGGCCAAATGCTCCAGGGAACGAGTTGCTGTCTCGAACTACAAATGTTCCTGGTCGTTTATCTTTCAGCATTATTATGGCTAAAAAGAAAAAAGTTCATTATAAATTCTAATCTTATAAACAAATATTACTGGTGGTTTTATAAAAAATTTCACTTTTATTCACAAAATTTTTTTATATTTTGAAGGTCAAATCTCAATGCTTGAGAAAAAAAATTATAATAATAAAAAAAAACAAATCATTGTTTTTAGGGCTAGAGTAAAAAATGTGTTACAGCATTTATACTTTATTAACATTTTCACTGTTGCATTGTTTTAGTATTGTGGCCTGGTTGTGCTGACTCTTCTTGGGAAAAATAGGAAATTACCATTGACTGGAAATCAATGACTATAAAGATGCTGATGACAAGTTCCCATAGGCACTGCCATTTTGGTTTCAATCTGAAACGCTAGTACAGACTCTTCAAAGTAGAATGTAAACAAATAATATAAGAAAAATGTTACAAAACAGGTCATATTGTATACTACTATATACCTACACTGGTTTCGGAATAGCACAAATGCTAGTGATCAACCATTCATGCAATCTTAAAAAAAGAAAAATCACACACACACATCAACAGCAGGCAATGTGAATTTCATAAAGATTCATAAATGTGTACCTAACAGAAGTGTTAAATTTTATTAAAATATTTTTTATTTATAAAAAAAAAAAAGATGTATACAAATTTTTAGTCCTATATTAAAAGTTCTAATTATGTCAAGAACACATGGATAAAGAGTAAATATTTGTAATTGTTTAGAAAATGATTTTTAAGTCTTGACATGAACAAAATTCTATAGAATGCAAGAGTAAAATCAATCATCTTGCAAGCTGTCTCATTTCTGTTTATGTAATCATCTATTTATATTCAATATGGTAGACATGCAGATAATTATCTAAATAAAGTTGCCTTCTTGAATTAATCTAATTTCCATGTGGATTCATTTAAACATGTTAATAAAACATTCAGGATATTAATGTTCATAATATCAAAAAGAAACAATCAACAAGATCACAAAAAACACAGACATTGTGATTAGAAAATTAGCCAGTCATTTTTCTTTTTTATAAAACATAATTATAGAAACAACAAACATTCTGAGCAGTTAATCTTTTACTCAAGATGACAATTCTCAAAATCATGTAATTTTTTTTATTATTTCATAACATTTACTTGTCTATATCTAATCTTGAATTAAACTTTATTATCATTAATATTATTATTAAAGTAATATCACTGACATGCTACTATGGCTGATGGAGTCGGGTACAGACAGATTGAGGACACTTCCCTGTTTATTGTTATTATTTTCTTAAAAAAAAAACTCCCTGTAATTAACACAACAGGAAATTGATTTATTCTCCCAGTTAAAGCATTTTAACTGTACTGTGCTAACAAACACTGCACTACAATGTGCTGTTTTTTCTCTATGACAGCAAGCACACGAAAATGATAATTATATCTGTTCTCATCATAAAAGTACAATTTACAAAAAAAATATACTGTGCTTTCATTCCTAACATCAAAAGATAATCATAGAATATAAAAACTTTAAAAACTGAAATATAAATATTTATTTAGATTATTAACATGCAGACTATTGTCCTCATCTTTGGTTGTGGTTGTTATGGATGGAACATATACAAATCTGCTTAGAAAAATCCAGAACATCAGTTGGAAATCCCATGCAACATTTAACCCAATTTATAGAGAACTGAAACCAATCTCACTTAAGTTCAAACAAAAGTGATTACAGTTTGCTAGCCACTGCCACAGCCACCGAGTGGATGGTGAGGTCATCACATCCTTAATTCTACAGTGTCCTTCTGGAGGTGTCTTCTCGTGAAAGTTGAATTTTCCAGACACCATGGCTCAAGACTCAGGGTTGGACATTGTTTTGTCTTAGATTGCTATACCCAGTGTGGAAAGGGATTGTTAATAGTGTTCCAACCAGCCACAGAGAAGTTGAGAGGATGATGTTGATCACAACGTTTCAGCTGTTGTGCCATCTGGCCTTCATCAAGTGATTGCTGATTCAGGCAACCTTCAGATATAAAGATGTGTTAGATTGAACCTAACAAATAATAACAGTACTAACCCGTAGCAAAATCAGAAACATTTCTTGTGGGATATAATGTAGCTAATCAATTTAGTAGGTAATGCCCAAACTAAACCAATAGTTTATCTCCATAAAATATATACATCCAATTATCTCAGCACCTAAATAGCGAACGTATTCTCGTAATTAGAAATTTTATTGAAAGAGTCATAATCATTTACTTACCCTCTTCCCGGCTAATTGTAGGTTTATACCAGAATTTTGACGTGTCCTTCACAAATTTGGGGGTTGTTTGAACCAGATCAGATTCTGCAAAGAAATAAAAATTTTATCCAAATCATAAATGTTGCCAAACAAAAACTGAAAATATAGCAGTTCTTAGCACAATGTTTTGCTCAAATGATTTTGTACTTCTATCTACATGCCCACTTAAATCAAAGATAAGTGAAGGCCATTTGGAACTCCCATATATATCTAAGATTAATAACAAAAATTGTCCAATTCCCTTAACACCTTTTGGGATTAGAGTTAGGTATCAGGAATTGACCCTGATCCTTTTAGTGCAATGTGAGAGGCTCTGCCTGTGGAACTAGACTTTGTATTTAAAGTCTGAAAAACAGATGACTAACAGTTAAAAAATACATTTTATAAAATTAAATCAGTTCAAATGGGTAAACAATAATCATCATGATTATTACACAAACACAAAACTAAATATGAAATTCTGTGGGAAGAGCATAAGACTATGTCTCATCCTTGTAAACAAAGCAAACAAAAACTTGTTAGATTGTTGATGTTGCCATTCCAGCAGACCACATATTAAAATTAAAAGTACAAAGTTGGACAAATATTTGAATTTTACAAGAGAAATTAAAATATTTTGGAACATGAATATGACAGTTGTACTCATTGCTGTTGGAGCACTTGGAAGAGAACCAAAATGCCTAGCAAAAAGAGGGGAAAGAATTAGAAAATTTGAAAAGACTGAAACTACTTAGATAACGGCATTAGTGAAAACAAATGGAGTGCTAAGGAAACTTTCTGTCACTTGATCAACCAGTAACTCTCAATGGGAAATAATAAGACTTCATATGAAACAAAATGTGAATAAGATTTTTTAGTCATTAACTGATCACTCCCTTCATAATTATTAATTAACATTTTAAGTGAGAGGCATTGTGGAATGTAAAGTGCATTCAGTTGAATTTGAATCAAATCCATTTGTTAATAAAGTATTGCTTAAGAAATTGGAACAAGTTTATTACTTGAAATGTGCATTATAAAGTTTATATAATATTAACATTGGCAATTACATTAGCAAAAAGGCAAATCAGGAGTTGAACTTATCACTATAAGAAACAGCCACTCTGAATCATCTGAGAGAACTCGTTTTTACCTGGCATGGCTGATGCTAACCTCCAGGAGAGTGACTCATTGTGCCTACGCAGATTAATGTTCTTCTAATGACATGAAGTCTCATTGGAAGCTGTTATTTTATTTCTAATTTTTTGCTGTTTACTCAAGTAGCCAAAGGGTTTTTATTAAGCCAGAGTTGTTATAATTAAAAAAAGCAACAAATAAGATTGGTTAAATACTAAGAATAATAGTGAAAATACTTTATCTAAAAAAATAAATTTCATTAACTCTTGTTTTTTTTTGTAAATGACTTATCCTGTAACTAAGAAATTTGCAAATTCTGAATTAGCATCAGTGGACTTATTTTTGAGGTCAGTGAAAAAAATTAGGCTTTCAGATGTTGATTTTAAAAGCAGATAGACCATATCTACTTGGAGTATTTAGTACAAAACATTCACTGCATCTTACCTTGTTATTTGGCCTTGTTCCTTACTAAGATAAGCTTAGTGAATATCTCTAGCTATGGAGTCCTCAGTATAGTCAAATGGTTTATAAGACTGAATAACTGGCTGGTAAGATGAAAGTTGTTTCTCATAGAATATATATTTTTTTTTTTTTTTTTTAAATCTTTTCATCCCAAGCAAAGCAATAAAAGCTACTAAGAGTGAAAACAAAAAACAGAGGACATAAAAGAATAGGATTCAAGAAGACAGAAACTGATGATTGACATCACATTTAAATTTTTGAAGATCATAGTTGACAGGAAAGCAAGAAACTGGAAAAGTGAGAAGTGCAGAAAAAACTATTAGCATAGAATTTATATGACTAACTTCCAAAGAGAAGATATTATTTCTCTAATTTATTTAATTTGTAGGAAAGATTGGAACTTTGTATCTCATTAAGCCTGTAACTGTACAAGTAAATTCTCTTGTTAACTATCTCATATTCTATTGGTCTGAGTATCACAGACCAGTCTCTCCAAACAAAAAAACTTCTGGTATTAATCTAAGCAAAGACAAGATTAATACAAATACTTTTATGATGTAACAATGTAGATTATAGTAGAAGTTGATGTTTAGGCAAGATCAACTGACTTTCATTACATCTCCAAGTTAATTTATCTACTTAACTAAGAGAAGACTTGTGATAATTTAATTTGTTTTTCACAAAAATAAATCAATTGAAATAAACTGCTTTATTATTTTGACAAAGCGGAGATAATTAATCACGCCTTTCATTATTATTAAAGATTACTGTAAATTTATACATGATAAATTTTGGGTTTGTAATCATCAGAACAGCTTCATATTAATTACTGAACAATAGAAAGTTTTAGAAGTCATTAAGCCTTTATGGACAGATATAGGGAAGAAGCTTTCAAAAGAGACTGTATGAAAGTATATAATAAATTTTTTTTTTTATTTGAAAGAAAAAATGTAATAAATCATATATTCACAAATAAAGAGTTGAAAAAGAAAAATAGAGACAAACAAAATAACATGGACATGGTTATGCCGAGGACATCTAAAAAGAAAAATGATATCTCTTATTGCAACCCAGATTAAATGCATTAGAACCAATTCCAAGATGAAGATTGTAAGCTAATTGAATACAACTACTTGTCCCAAGGGGATTACTGTATATACTCATGTATCATGCAACCTTTGAAAACCCAATTTTGAAGCTAATGAACATATAGTTTGATCAACAGTGTAGCCTGGGCCAGCAATCTATATGCTAATTTTATATCTCATGTATAATGTGACCCTCTTAAAATTAGGTTGTCAAAAGTCACATGATACATGAGTATCTATGGTATATAAAAAAAAAAAAAACATGACAGTAGGAACAATAATAGATCGAGACTTGAATTTGAGTTTAACCATATAAACAAATATGAGTAGTCATAGAAAATTATGAAAAGACTGGACTTGGTTGTTGTGAATAAAAAGGCAAATTCATGTTGGAATTAAATTGGGGATATGTTTATTCCAGCAGACTATTATACAAAGGTCAAATAAATACAAGAACTCAAGTTGCTGCAAGATATTAGGACAAGCACCATTCTTAGATATTTTACTAGTGGTACAAAATTTAATAATTCCAATAAAAAGATGACAGAAACAATAGGAAAGAATAAGAAAATTATCATTCTTGCACTAGGAACCCTTCCAAATAAAAACTGAAACTAATGTTTGATTCAATATAATAATAAAAACTTGCTGCTTGAATTACATTTCGGTGTATAAAAATGTCAATGTTTTTAATATATTGTAACATTAAAAGAATTTAAGGGAGTTAAATGGAAAAGAGTAAATAAGGGAATGTTCTGAAGACAGGATTTGTTTGTGGTTGTTAAACGCTAGCTGGGAAAAGAAGAAAAACAGATTTTATGATGAGTCTGTTACTCAGTTTTTATGGTCCTAACAGTTTCTGTGAATCCTTATTTCAGGAATACATGCTTTGGCTCTGATTTCTCAAAACCTGCTTCAAACTCCACACCCAACTACATGCCGGTGTTCATTTCCTCAACACACCATGGTGCGAGTGGATCTCCAAACTAATGTATTTGCAAGAATAAAGTTGATTGCTCTTGAGTCTTGTCAATCTGTCTGCTTATCATTTCCTGCTTGAGAGCTGAATTCAAGATGACACAAGTGGGAATTGTGACTTATACATCATCAGACATGTGGTATATGAATATGGTTGGTCATGTTATATTAGTATGACTGATTGCAGAGGCAAAATGTTTGTATGTCATTATTTCTAACAAACAATTCTACCAGTTCAAAAGTAGAGAAAAATAAACACACATAAAACAATATTGCAACACTTGATATCCTTCTGTTGTCAAAGATATTCAATTTCATCTTTATTTAACTGTTTCCTGTACCCTGCTGCTTATATGTTACACTTTAAATAATTAAATGCTATGATATTTAACTAGATTTCCATGAATTATCAGCAAGACTATTTGACACTGCCTGATCAAAATAAATCTCCTTTAGTGGTAAATTTTTTTTTGTCTGTCCTACATGTAAGAGTAGTTCATAAAATATGGAAAATGAAAAGACAAAAAGTAACACATATAAATAAAGAATATTCACCTTTTTTTTTTATTATTATTATTTTTAACAACAATCTTTTACTTGCAAATTTTTCTTTAAATCAATAAGATATAAGGATGGTAGCGGGTTTAGTATACAGGCTAATCTTAATTTAATTTTAGATCTTTTATTTAATTTAGATTTTAATCTTGAGACTTTAAATATCAAATTGAAAATTTAACCTATTTCTCATGGATCTAAGAGTTTCATGAAAATAGTGTAATCATGAAAATCTCTAACTTCAAAATTGCTATACTCAGTTTTCTTTTCTCACATTCCATCTCCTATAAGATGCCTAGTTTTTAACCTTTTTGTCTAATCAAATATCTCCCTTGCAATATTGATATGAGGGGCTTGATAGTTTGAAATCTGTATACTCATCCCTGTAGTGTATAGGGTCAAACCACACATAGTGGTTTTAGTAGCATTGAGGTTTTACATGGAGCTAATAAATACTAAATTGTAGTGTCTTTATTATGACCATGGCAGATTGTTTCAAAATCTTTACAAAAAAATAAAAAATTCTGCAAAACAAAAGAGTTCAACAACAATAATTGTTAAAAAAATATTTTAAAATGCCATCAATTAGTACAATATAAAGTCTATATTTGAATTTCTGTAATCTGAAATGCAGGAAAATTTATTTCAAGTCAAAATGAAGCACTTTAAGCATAATTTAATACTTGTAAAATCCTTAAAACTCAACTTATTTTTGCAAGAATAAAATAATACTTTAAGTAAAAGAGACTAACAATACACTTCTATAAAGTTTGACTGACAACATATTATGTGTGAGTTCAAATGTTACTTATATTCATTTCACAGAAATTCTCTTTGTAAAAATCG